CCCACACCCCATCTCTGTGTCAGGGCTTTCCTTTTGGTTCTCTCTCTCCTTTTGGGTGTTGTTGTTTGCAGTAGAGGTATTGAGTGGCCATCATGTTTGGTTTATATTCTACTTTCTGCATGCATCTCCCAACCTGAACGGGTTCTCCCAACACTCCTTAGTTGGTGGTCCCTTCTCTATCTGAGCTGCTTTCCCCCCCCCCCCCCCAGCATGTGAGGCCAGCTTCCAAGACATGAGGCAAACCTCTTGGACCTTATATCTACTATTCTTGGGTATTAGTCTCCTATCCTGTTACTTTATATTCCACAGATGAGTGCATTTTTTCTATGCCTATCCCTCTCTTTCTGACTCATTTCAATTAACACTGATAATTTCCATGTTGATCCACTTATGTGCAAATTTCATTACTTCATATTTTCTAACAGCTGCAGAGTATTCCATTGTGTAGATGGACCAAAGTTTCTTTAACCAGTCATCTGTTCTTGGGTACTCAGGTTGTTTTCCAGATTTTGGCTATTGTAAACAGTGTAGCAATGAAGATACAATTGCAGATGTCATTTCTACTATATTTTTTCCTCTCCTGGATATATTCCCAGAAGTGGTATTTCTGGGTCAAATGGGAGCTCAATTTCTAATTTTTTGAGAAGAGTGCATACTGTTTTCCAAAGAGATAAACCAGCTGGCATTCCCACCAGCAGTGAAGGAGAGTCCCTTTCTCCCCACATCCGTGCTAACACCAGTTGATTTTGTTCTTTTGAATGTGAGTCAGTCTCTGTGGTGTGAGATATCTCATTTTTTTATTTGCATATCTCTCATGATTAGTGATGAAGAGCATTTTTCATGTGCCTTTTGGCCATTTGGATATCTTCTTTGAGAAAGTTTCTGTTCATTTCATCGCCCCATTTTCTGATGGGGTTGGATGTTTTATTCTTGTAGAGTTCAACCAGTTTCCTGTATATCCTTGATATTAACCTCTTATACAATGGGTATTGGATCGATATCCTTTACTATTCTGTAGACTGTCTTTGTATTTTGGTCATTGTTTCTTTTGAGGTGCAGAAGCTACTTAGCTTAAGGTAGTCCCATTTGTTTATCTCTGTTTCCATTTGCTTGGCCAATGGCATGTCCTCTTTGAAGATACCTTTAGCTTCAGTGTTATGGAGGGTTTTGCCAACCTTGTCTTCAATGTATCTTATGGAGTTTGTTCTGATGTTGAGATCTTTAATCCATTTTGATCTGAGTTTTGTGCGTGGTGTTAGGTGGAGGTACAAAACAAAAAGAAACCATGATGGTCTATGTTCTGTGCTTGAACAGAATATACCAAAAAATGTGTAATTTTTTGTAAACTTTGGAATCCACTACTGAAAACATTTGTTTGTAAAAGACCTGCCAGTATTATATGCTTAAACAAAGTAATATATCAAATCAAGAAGAAGCATTAAGTATATACCTTATGGTCATTTTTGTTAGATAAGTTTTCCTCTGTTGAAGCTATAGATTCCTGAGGCATACAAGGATTGACTGAGTTGGTCAATAATGTTCTTTCTTTCCCTTATGGTGCAAGTTAGGTACATGCAAAAAATGAGTCCTTTTTTTGCATGTAGCTGTCCAGTTTTTCCAGCACCATTTGTTAAAGAGGCTTTCCTTGCTACACTTCAAATTTCTTGCTCCCTTATCAAAAAATTAGATGATCATATATTTGAGAGTGTGTGTCAGAATATTCCACCCTGTTCCATTGGTCTGTGGCTCTGCCTTCATTCCAGTACCCTGTTTTAATTAACACCGCTTTGTAGTAGAGTTTGAGGTTGGGGAAAGTGATGCCTCCCATCTTCTTTTTCCCAAAAATTTCCTTAGTTATTCATGGGGGCTTATTGTTCGATATGAATTTCAGGAGTGTTTGATCCATTTCTTTGAAGAATGTCATGGGTATCCTTATAGGGATTGCATTGAATCTGTACAATGCTTTGGGGAGTATTGCCATTTTGACAATGTTAATTCTCCCAATCCGTGAGCAGGGGATATGTTTCCATTTCCTCATGTCCTCTTTTATTTCATGAAGTAGCGTTTGTAGTATTCTTTGCACAGATCCTTTTCCTCCTTAGTTAAGCCAATTCCAAGGTATTTGATTTTCTGAGGCATGATTATGAATGGGATTGCCAAGCCTGCACTCTTTTATTTATTTATTTATTTTTATTAGTGAAACACCATGAAATACAGTTGTAGATTTACAATTTTTTGTGCTTGGGTTTCGATTATACAATGATCAGATACCCATTCCTCCACCAGTGCCCATTTTCCACCACCATGGATAATATCCCCCCCCACCCCATACCCCCGTCCCCCCCTGCCTCTGTGTCAGGGCAATCCCCTGTGTTCTCTCTCTCCTTTTGGGTGTTGTGGTCTGCAAAAGAGGCATTGAGTGGCAAACATGTTCAGTCCATAGTCTACTTTCGACACGCATCTCCCCTCCTGGGAGGATCCTCCAAACACCCTTTATTTGGTGCTCCCTTCTCTATCTGAGCTGCCCTTTCCTCTAGAATGCCCGACTGACCACTAAGCTATGGAGTAATCCTCCTGGTGCTGATCTCAGCTATTCTTGGGTATTAATCTCATATTTTGTTACTTTATATCCCCCAGATGAATGCAATCTTTCTATGCCTATCCCTCTCTTTCTGACTCATTTCGCTTAGCATGATACTTTCCATGTTGTACCACTTGTATGTAAATTTCATGACTTCATCTTTTCTAAGAGCTACATAGTACTCCATTGTGTAGATGTACCAAAGTTTCTTTAACCAGTCATCTGTTCTTGGGCATTCAGGTTTCTTCCAGTTTCTGGCTATTGTAAAGAGTGCTGCAATGAACAAACAAGTGCAGATGTCACTTCGACTATACATTTTTCCCTCTCTGGGATATATTCCCAGGAGTGGTATTGCTGGGTCAAATGGGAGATCAATTTCTAATTTTTTGAGAATCGTCCATCCTGTTTTCCAGAAGGGCTGAACTAGTGGACATTCCCACCAACAGTGAAGGAGTGTTCCTTTCTCGCCACATCCAAGCCAGCATCTGTTGCTTTTGTTTTTTTGAATGTGGGCCAGTCTCTGAGGTGTGAGATGGTATCTCATTGTGGTTTTGATCTGCATCTCCCTGATGATTAATGATGTAGAGCATTTTCTCATGTCAAGCCTGCACTCTTGATAGGCACCATTTTAAGTTTGGTTGTTAAAGTTTGGGTCTCTTGATTTCAGTGTTTTTGATTCCCTGGTTTGAATATTTGATTCTGTCATTCCTTAGCACCACTTTTGTACCATAATCCCCTGACCTGCTGTTGCTTCTCATTTTTCTCTTCTTCCCCTCCCCTCCACTATTTCTTTCATTCTCCTCCATATGTCTCTGTGGCCAAGGTTGATCTGGATACCCCCTCCCCCTTGAAAAATTGCATTCCTTCACTCACTTATTATAAGTACCAAATATAAGTGATAAAATCATTTTATCTTGCTTTATTCTTCTTTTGGCTTCCTTTGTTTAATGTGATGTTTTCCAGTTCCATCCATGTTGAAGCAAATCGCATGATTTCATTATTCCTTACAGCTTTGTATATATACACCAGCATACATATATATACCACACGTTCATGATCCATTTATCTATTATTGGACAATTAGGTTGATTCCAAATCTTAGCTATTGTACTGAGTGCTGTAGTATTAATGGTGTGCATACATTCTTTTGAATAGTTATTACATGTGTTCTTTTGAATGGATGTTTTTATCATGAATTAATGTTGGGTCTTATTAAAGTATTTTTCTGCATCTATTGATATGATTATATGATGGTTTTCTTTTCTTTCACTCATGTGGTTCATTATATTAACTGATTTTAGTTTGTTGAACTGTCCTTTAACCCTGAGATGAATCCCACTTTATCAGAATATATGTTTTTTTTTATGTTTTTGGACTTTGTTAGCTACATTTTTTTTCAGGGTTTTTGGATCAGTGTTCATTGGGGATATTGGCCTGTGATTTTCATTTCTGGAAATGTCTCTGTCTGCTTTGGTTATAATTGTAATGTTAGGAAGAATTCTGGTGTCCTCAATAGTTTGGAAGAGTTTAAGGAGTAAGGGCAATAAATCTTCTCTGAAAGTTTTATAGAACTCACCAATTAATCCATCTGCACTGGGACTTTTGTTCTTAGGGATGTTATTAATTTTTGTTTCCATTTCTTTACTTGTGATTTACTTGTGATATTAAGGCTCTCTGCTTACTCCTTGTTCAGCATCAGAGATTACAACACTCTAAGAATCTGTTTATTTATCCTCCAGTTTAAGAACATAAATCTGTTCACACTAACCTCTTACTATGTTTTAAATTTCTGAAGGACCTGTTGTAAGTTCTCACCTTTTGTCCCTAATTTGATTATTTATATAATGTTTTTAAATGTAAAATATTTTTCTGACTTATATTACATAATTTATATTATATACACATGCACACGCACACACGCATACACACACACTTTGTAAAAAAAACCTTCCACTACTCATTTTACAGAAATTAACTTTTTCCCTAGAGAGAGGCAGAGGTTGTAAGTATGTTAAGAGAGCTAAGAGAGGATTAGATAGATGGTTTAAGGATAAAAGAAGAGCTAGGTGAATAGAACTAACAGAATTACTGTTACAGACTTAAAATAGCACCCCTGAATTAAGTTGAACTGAAAATGATTTCAGGTAAAAATAAAGGGATTTTAAAAATTCTTTATGAAATTATCTCTTTTTTTACTTCAAAAATTTAAATCAACCTTGTTAGGGAGCATAGAAAGTAGTCTATAGAGTAGTCACTTAGTATTTGTGATTTCACATGGTAATAATTCTGTGAATGCATTACAGAATGATTAAACTTAAATATTTCTTTATGACCACATCGTCAGTAGTATTAGTATTATTTAATGCGCCATCCCTGGCTGTCAAACATTTTAAGTCTTTATTTCTTTGTTTTCTTTTAGGCCTCTTATATAAGAAGCTGAAAGGGAAATAAAATATACAGGATGAAAAGATGGCAATGTTGCCTCCCCCAGGACCTCACAGCTTTGTCCACTTCACAAAACAGTCTCTTGCACTTATTGAACAGCGTATTGCTGAAGGAAAAGCAAAAGAACCTAAGGAAGAAAAGAAAGATGATGAAGAAGAAGGTCCAAAGCCAAGCAGTGACTTGGAAGCTGGCAAACAGCTGCCCTTCATCTATGGGGACATCCCTCCAGGCTTGGTCTCAGAGCCCCTGGAGGACTTGGACCCCTACTATGCTGACAAAAAAGTGAGTTTTTCTGTACTTGGGATTGCTTCTTTCTACGTAGAACTGTCTTTAAAATTGAGACAATGTTGAAATTAGTGGGGGAAAAAAAGATAATTTTCAACTAAATACACATGTAGGTTATTCAAGATAGTAATTTTTCTACTTATCAAAACTATTTCTGATGTTAACACACTACTTTTGCTGTCTTTAATCTTAATCAATTTTAATATAAAAACGCATGACGAGTGCATACTAGTAGATAGAATAATTAGTTAACTAGAGAACTAAGGTATGTTCATAGTGTTATTTGAGTGATAGTGACAGCTGAATTCATGTACCTCTGTAAGATCATTCACTACTCCTGCAGTTTAGAGAACCATGTGAGTTAGTGTGTTGCAGAGAAAGAAGAATCTGAAATGGTCAGCAAAGTCTATTATACTTAATCCTCGTCCAAAAATAAGGACAAGAGGACAGGATCTCTAAATGGCTCATAAAATGGGGTTAGGATGAAGCTATTAGAAGAACTAGGAAGATGTGTTTGATATTTATTTGCAAGTAGTGTGTTGGGTGATGTGAATCAAAGCCAGGTAGGAATAGGATAGCAGTACAGGCATGCTGAGACATGTACGACATTTCCCACTTGAAAGATGGTCACTTGAGTAGCTGAATAAGTTGGAAACCTCTTAACACACAGTAAAAACATGTTTAAAAGTGAAGAATTTTTTTTTCTCGTAGTGATAAATATAAAGCATTGGAATAGTTTCAGTACTTGATGATGTTAACTGCTGCTCAGAGTTCAGACAAGCAGCAATTTGGTTTTTATTTGCTTAATAAACTAGTTAACCAGTCATCTGTTCTTGGGCACTCAGGTTGTTTCCAGATTATGGCTATTGTGAACAGTGCTACAAAAGTCATTTATATTGTGCTTTTTTGCATTCTTGGATATATCCCCAGAAGTGGTATTACTGGGTCATATGGAAGCTCAATTTCTAGTTTTTTAAGGAATGCCCATATTATTTTCCAAAAAGGCTGGACCAGTTTGAATTCCCACCAAAATGAAAGAGTCCCTTTCTCCCCACATTCATGTCAGTACTGGTTGTTCTTGTTCTGTTTAATGTGTGCCACTCTCTGTGGTGTGAGATGATGTCTCCTTGTTTTGATTTGCATCTCTGATAATTAGCAATGTAGAGCATTTTTTTCATGTGCCTTTTGGCTATTTGTATTTTTTTGAGGAAGCTTCTGTTCATTTCTTCTCCCTATTTTTATGGGACTGGAGGTTTCTTCTTGTACAGTTTTACTAATGTCGTGGGTGTTGGGTAAAGAAATTTTGGTACATCTATAAAATGGAATACTATGCAGCTGTTAGGAAAGATGAAGTCATGAAATTTGCTTATAAGTGAATGGAAAAAATCATGCTCAGTGAAATGAGTCAGAAAGAGAGGGACAGACATAGAATGACTGCACTCATTTGTGGAATATAAAATAACATAATATGAGACTAACAACAAAGGACAGTAGAGATAAGGGCCAGGAAGATTGCTCCATGGTTGGAAGCCTGCCTTATGAGCTGTGGGAGAAGGCAGCTGGAATAGAGAAGGAATCACTGTCAGTGATAGTTGGAGAGATCATTAGGGAGGGGAGATGTGTGCTGAAAGTAAATAATGGACCGAACATGATGGCCTCTCATTGTCTGTATTACCAACCATAATTTCAATGTATATTACAGACATATACTTTGTCTGTAATACATTGTCTGTATTATTGACCATAATTTCCATAAGGCAGGGAAATTGTCTGCCTTAGAGGCAGGGGAGGTGTGGGATTGAGGGGGAGGATACTGGGACATTGGTTGTGGAAAATGTACACTGGTGGAGGGATGAGTGTTCGATCATTGTATGACTGAAACTCAAACATGAGAGCTTTGTAAGTGTTGCTCACAGTGACTCAATTAAAAAAAGCTAGCTAAGGTGAAGAGATGGGTTTGGAATGTTGTTTGACCTAAATCCATCATGAACAACTTTATAACTGTGTATTTCATAGTGTGAAAGAAACTAGTTAAGAATATTCCCTGATACTTGAGGGGCAAATGTTAGCATGGCTTTAATAATCCTAATATGTAGGAATAAATGTAGGCACATCTGAGGAAATGATTGTTAAACAGTGCCAATCATTTCCATTTGGGAAAGAAATTGTCCTTGGAGAAGTCAATGATGAGAGAGGCAGACATGAGAAAATGCTGAGTGCATTACAGAAATAGGAGAAAGTTTGAAACTGCTTTAAAGGTTATTCTATTGAGAAAAATGAGATGGGAATTGCAATAATTTCTTGCACAGCAACAGAAATGACCAGTCTTAAGATGATAAAGATCAGACAACAAAAAAGCCAAATCAGCAAGTTCCATAATGTTTCCAACAATACTTTTGCTGATGACTTTTCTTTAAACAATAAAGAATAAAGTTCACTTAAAAACAGTTCTTAATTATTGAAGTATAAAGATTTACTTCTGAAACATAGTTTTGTAAACAAATGTTATCTTAATTTTGGACATGGTTAAGATACAAATAAAAGTGAATATTTTTTGATAAGAGATCTAGCAAATGAAAGAAAACATATTTGAAGTTTCTCAAGAACAAAAACATTGAATAAAATAAATTTTTATCGTAGAAACACATCTGTCTCATGAATGTTTCTATTTATATCAATATCTAATATTTTCATTCACATTAAAACAAGGTAATATTATAGCAATAGATTACAAAGCATTTTAATGGGTCTAATACTATTCTGAAAGGGAAAATTCTGTATTGAGAAATATTAGCATTCTGATAGAAATATGTATTTTTATCAGAAACTAGACTTTGTACAAATTAACACAACTATTAAAGCACAATCATTGCAGTGAGATAGAAAGCAATATCTAAGTTTTAGATAAAAAGAAGTAGTTGTGGAAATTATCCAGTCATGGGCTGTTGGATATTGAAATTGTGATTAGTGCTGCTATGAACATGGAAATGCAAATATTTTTTCAGAATAAAGTTTTTGTCTCTTCTACAAAGAAGTAGACTGCTAGATCATATGAAATAATTCTTAGTTTTTTTGTGGTGTTCATTTTGTTTTCCTAAAAGATTGAGCCAGTCAACATTTCCACCACCAGTAAATGAGGGTTTCTTCTCTCCCACAGATATACCAACATGGGTTGCTTTTACTCTTTTTAATGACTCTTCATTTGATCTAAGTCCATATTTTAAATTATATTCGAGTAGAAGTATCAAATCCTTGATTATGAACAGTTAATAAAAGCAATAATAGAAGTTATGTTGTCATTTTTATGTGTGATGAATATATAAATGCTTTTTGGTAGTGTTGTGAATACTGTTATTTGAAGGGTAAGTTTTTATCTATAAGAAAAAAGAAACTACTTTTCAAAATTATAAATTACCATTCTCTGCTATGGGTATTAATTCGAAAGGTCCTTTGTCTATCTTTATATCATTGATGTCTGATATATCACTTATAGTATCAGAAGCTGCTCTACCTTTTCCTATGAATTTAGTTTGCTGCAGGTTGACTTTAGGTTGACCTTGCGACCACTCACTACTTTTGGACTAGCCCCTTTTCCTATGAATTTAAATGTACCCCAAATTTGAAAATTTCACATACTATATGAACACTGATAAGCTACTAAATGATGATTATTCTATATTGAATCAGTTCTGTCCCACTTTGAAGCTTAGTTTTATAATTTATAATTTCAAACACCATAGTTTTATAATTATATAACTTTGTGTTCAGTAAATTATTATATAAATGAGAGGAAAAAAAGAATTTTCTAGTTTAAATATTTATGTGTGCTATGGCTCTGGCCCCTGAAAATGTTTTGTAAAAGAACTCATAATTCAGAACACTTATTATTACCCAGGACAATAATCTATTAGTAATAAAACCTCAAAATGTTATGATCAAAATCAGGGACTATTTTTTTCAATTTGGTTTGCTTTATATGCAATGTAATAAAAGAGAAGGTGGTTGTATTTTTAAATAAATATCAGTGGCCACAACTTACTATTAATGCTTTGGATGTTGTTAGATATGAGAAATAGAAGATGCCGTATTTTGGGGAACTCATGCTCATAGGTATCTCACTTCTTACTTTATTGAGAATAAACAGGCTAGAGCCAATTGTCCAATATAATGTATATAGCTGCATCAATAGTATTGGAATTGTATTATATGGGTCTGAGTCTGATGACAGTGTTTCTTTAAACAGCACTACCAAACGAAGAGGTAAACTGCTGATGTTGATGTGCTAGACTGAAATCTTAGATTGTCAATTTCCTATTGTTTTCTTTTTGCTCCTTCAGACTTTCATAGTCTTGAATAAAGGGAAAGCAATATTTCGCTTCAATGCCACACCTGCTTTGTACATGCTCTCTCCTTTCAGTACTCTAAGAAGACTGTCTATTAAGATTTTAGTACACTCATATCCTTTTCAAAATACTTATGAAAAGTGGTCCTTAAAATGGCAATTTTATTTATTAATAAAGTTTAATTCTTTTGTACCTGAAAGGACTCAAGTTTTATTATATAAATTCAATATAGGTTGGGGTAAATCTCTGGAAAATGTGGTAAAGTAGTAATTTTAACATTGTAATTTTAGCATGAAAATTACTTTCCATTCAAGGCAAAGAAGTTTATCAGTTCATTTAGAGTAATTTTTCATAAAAAGTTGTAGCATTTCAGAGACTTTTAAATAAATATTTAAAGAGATGGAGAAACTGAAGAGATGCATCCAGACTCTGCACCAGACTGAGTCTTTTATCCAGGGCACCCTGGTGGAAGATGCGTGAGTCTATCACCCACCCAAACAGAGCCCCGACAGCTGAAAACTTTCACAATCCAATTGCTGCCTTGCTCATGGCCAAACTCCATAGACTAGGGAAGAGCCTCATCCAGAAATGAATGTGTTGAAAAACTCAGGTACGCTGGTTTTGTGACCGAAATCTCCAGGCTATCACAGAGTTGGGGATGGGTGACCTCCTGCCATCCCCATGTTCTTCTTGGGAGCCTGGAAGCCATGCCCATGAACTGCCTCTGGCGCCATTTAAGCTCATTAACATGATCCAGAGACTCCGAAAGAGATCAGCAAGCTGCAGGGTCTTCTGGATCCCAAATTCACCATCCAATTAAAACTTTAATTCCAGTTGTATCACCCCATTCAAAATTTTAGAATTCCACAGCCACAAATGCTCAATATCTCATACACTACACCACTGATACACCAAGAATAGCATACCACATTGGATGAGATGTAAAGTAGAAGACAACCAATTTCAGTTAATAGAATATTTACATACAAGGCTTAACTTGTAACAACATGTTAGTAAACCTCTTATACAAGGGCTTAATGATGCAGTTTGAGAAATAACAATCTTCACACACTTTCTTTTAAGAAAATGTTTTTTTCATAATTTTAGTAAATTATTAATAAAAAGCAATACAAAATAAATTATTTAGGGTCTGCTTTTGGGGTAGGCTTCAGTGGGGGTTGGGGAAAATTGTAAATAATGGTTGTGAGAAGGGTAATGGTGGTGTGAAGGGATTGGTACTGAAATATTGAGTGTAATAAGTCATCGTGAACAAAAATAAAAATAAAATGAAAATTTTAAAAATGTAGCATTTCAACAAGGTTTATTATGAAATATTTGAAAATATTTAAATGCTGTGCTTTAAAAAAAGTCATTTTCCTTGATTCTAAGATACCTTATTCAGCATGCTTATCATGTGTACTATTCTCACAAACTGCATATTTATGACAATGTATAACCCTCCAGATTGGACAAAGAATGTAGAGTAAGTAACTAAGTATATTTTAATATTGTTTTAGTAAATTACTGCATAGAAAACTTTTTTTTTACTCTGCTATATACTTTTATCTAAATTGTATATTCTCTTCTTTGTATTAATCCACTATGTATGGAAATAGAGTAATTGCATATTACACAGGGCTGGAGCGATAGCATAGCGGTAGGGCGTTCGCCTTACAAGCGGCCAACATGGCCGACCCGAGTTCGATTCCTCCGCCCCTCTCGGAGAGCCCGGCAAGCTACCGAGAGTATTCGATATGCCAGACACAGTAACAACAAAGTCTCCAATGGAGACGTTACTGGGCCCGCTCGAGCAAATCGACGATCAACGGGAGGGCCTTTACCTTTACCTTACCTAAAAGAATGAACTTACCAGATTTACTGTCTTGTTTACGTAGCAACGAACAAGGGTGTATTACTTACCTTGGGTATATTTCTGATAAAAACAATGTACAAATTTTGTGGTCCGACTTACACCAATATTTTTAATTATTTTAAATATTTCTACTTTTTATAAAGATTTTTGACATAAATAGTTTAATCTTTTTCTTGAAAAAGTTTCATTGTACTTTATTCTAAATAGCACAGGGGTAGGGCGTTTGCCTTGCACTCAGCCAACATGGCCGACCTGAGTTCGATTCCTCCGCCCCTCTCGGAACTGAGAGTATTTCACCCGCAGGGCAGAACCTGGCAAGCTACCTGTGATGTATTTGATATGCCAAACACAGTAACAACAGAGTCTCCAATGGAGACGTTACTGGGCCCGCTCGAGCAAATCGATGAACAATGGGAGGACAGTGACAGTGAGTGGGTTCATAAATCAATAGACACAGTCCAATAGATGTATTTCTTCTATTAATTTTTTTAAATGCTGTATAGAGATAATGCTATATTTATTTCACTTTTAATATCACAATGGATTCTTGTGTCTAGGTACACTTTTACTGGAATATATACTTTTGAATCACTTGTAAAAATCCTTGCAAGAGGCTTTTGCGTAGGAGAATTTACTTTCCTTCGTGACCCATGGAACTGGCTTGATTTTGTCGTCATTGTGTTTGCGTAAGTATTTTCAGTCTTTTGAAATCCCAAATTGCTGGAATCTCAGACAGAATAGTGTGTTCTAATAAGAACAATTTGGGCCTGTCTTTTATGAATATAATGGATACTTTAAAATGATATTATATCAAAGCTATTTGTTGATTGGCAAATACTAATTTTTTCTCATAAAAAGTATGTCCTTCTCAAGTGTACAGAAAGTCACTAAAATGGATAATCCTTATCTATGCTCAGTTATTGATTGGATAAATTATGTATATACATGCACATACCTACACATATAAGTGTATACACAATATAAGTATGCATATAAATGTAAATATATGCATATTTATATATACATGTATATAGAGAGAGATAGAATTAAGTTTATATTTTTCCCAAATTGTTACTTAAAAACCAATAGTACCTATAAGGATCAGAAAAAATAAACAAAAAAACCCCTCAAGCCTTAAATTGTACATATAGTATCTTATTATTAACTGACATTCGATCATGGTTACGGTCCTCCTGTTATTCATCAGTTTGTTCGAGCAGGCCCAGTAACGTCTCCATCATGAGACTTGTTACTGTGTTTGGCATATTGAATATGTCACGGGTAGCTTGCCAGACTTTGCTGTGAGGGCGAGACACTCGGTAGCTTGCTGGGTAGCAAGAGGGGCAGAGGAATCGAACCCGGCTTGGCTGGGCTGGCTGCACACAAGGCAAATGCTCTACTGCTGTGCTATCGCTCCAGACATTATTTGAATGTAAATCTTTTGCTGAGGACTTTCACTGCTTACTTGGTCTAACATGGTGTAACACTGAAATATGATTTTAATTTATCCATATTCCTATCTTTCTCCAATATATTGTCAGAAACATTTATGCTAAGCCCTGCCTTCAATTTCTGCCCACCATCTCCAACCCCCAGCAGTGCAGAGTGTAGCCTTGATGGCCTCTGAGCACTCCCAGACTCTGCCTCTGGTGGCTCTCAGTGCAATTGGCCCTGAGCAGTAGTTCATTGTGCATCATGCACCATGTTCAATCGTCCAAGATCATGAAGTCACACGGCCTGGTTGAGTATCTCGTAGAGTGGCCCTGCCCTTCTTAAGCATCCTTGGGAGCCCTCCTTGCTCTGTCCCTCAATGTTATGTATGTCTTTTGGAGACATCTGGACAATGAAGAATAACCTTATGGCACTAGTCTCCAATTTCCTGGTCCTTGACTCACCTCCTTGTCCACCAGTCTTGATCTTTCTATGGTAACATTTCTGTAGCAATACTAACTCCCACCTGCTAATAAGAAAGAAAGAGAAAAAAAGAAGAAAAGAAGGAAGGAAGGAAGGAAGGGAGGGAGGGAGGGAGGGAGGGAGGGAGGGAGGGAGGGAAGGAGGGAGAAAGAAAATGATAAAGAGAAAGAGAGAAAGAGAAAAGCATAAAACATTATGTCAACAAAGTAAGCACTTTTGCGGGACTCATTGAAGGGTGCTGGGTCCATGTGTGGCTGTGCTCAGGGTTTACTCCGGGCTCTGTGCTCAGAGATCCTAGTAATACTCAGGGATTCCATATGAAGTGCTGGGGAATGAAACTGAGTAAGCCATGTGCAAAGCAATCACCATACTTGGTGTATTAACTTGTGATCACACTCATTTTTAAGATATAATTTATATATATTAAATTTATCATTTTAAAGCATAAAATTTATGTCCTGTAGTATGTTCACAAACTTTATACAGTCATCACCACTACTAGAATTTTTGCTTATATATTTATGTATTTGAGAGATAACTTAAACTTTGCAGCACTGTATAGGTTTCAGGAGTAGAGTTTCTCCTTCTAGCAATTGTATATGTGATAGTATGCCCACCCCCAAATCTAGTCCTTATCCACCAGCATCCCGTTAACCTACTTCACCTTGTTTGTTCCCCCTGCCCACCCCAACTGGTAACCACTGCTCTGTAGTCAGACTTTTTGGACCACAATTGGCAATGCACAGGGCTTACTCCAGGCTTTACACTCAGGGATTATTTGTGGTGGGGCTCAGGGAACATTATGGGATACTGGGGATCTAACTCTGATTGGCCACGTCCAAGGCAAACTCACTACCCACTGTACTATCTCTCCAGCATCAAAAGTTTTGTTTTTGTTTTTTTGCATTACTTCTTTATATCCACAAATGAGTGAAATCATATAGTATTTGTCTTCTATCTAATTTCACTAAGTAAAATTCCTCAAAGATAATGCAGGCCCCTGCAATGTTAAGAATTCATTCCTTTATGACTGGAAAATATTTCATTCAGAATATTTTCATCAGCACAAAAATCACCAATTCCATTTTCTCTTCCCTCCTTTCCCTATAAATGACTCATCTATAATTCCTCTCTATAGATTGGTCTACTCTAGCCATTTCATATGAATGGAATTGTATAGTAAGTGGCCGTCTGGGTATTCTTTCAATTAGCATGCAGTTTTCAAATTTTGTTGTCAATGACTTACAGGATATCAAACATCTGCACTGCATAAATTGAAACATTTAATTATTTATTAGGGAATATTAATTTTATATATATCAATTTGATAATATATTTGTTTTTGTTCACATCAAATGAGTCAAATCAAATCAAATTAATTATAACAGATTTAAAGATTTTGTAGAGCCATATATTTAAAAAAGAAATTCCGATCATAGAAAATACCTTGACTAGAGGCACAGGTAAGTATCATTAACTCTATCTAAATTCTGAATAACTCTGATTTAATTCTACAGGTATTTAACAGAATTTGTAAGCCTAGGCAATCTTTCAGCTCTTCGAACTTTCAGAGTGTTGAGAGCTTTGAAAACTATTTCTGTAATTCCAGGTAAGAAGAAATTGGTATGAAGCATTAGGCCACTCATAACTCCAACTATTTGGGAGTTGTTCTTTGTTTGTTTGTGTGTGTGTGTTGTCAATGTGTTTGTGTATAAACTCCCCTATTACAGATATGTGACAGAGTTTGTGGACCTGGGCAATGTCTCAGCGTTGAGAACATTCAGAGTTCTCCGAGCACTGAAAACAATTTCAGTCATTCCAGGTGAGAGTGGAGTTAAACACCGAGGCTGACTTTGATCATTTGGAAGAAAGACAAAGAAAATGTTCTCTTATAGAACTTTAATTGAATTTGATTTCTTATATTATTTACAGTCATGAAAAATCAGCCTTTGAGTTTAATCAACTGCATGGGATTTAGAGGACGAAGATGGCCTCTTGGCTCACATCTCAACTTAAAATTTTTCTTCCTGTCTATACAGTTTTCTATTTTGTTTATACAGGAATGAAAATTTCAAGTTGTTTTCATGTGTTTCATGCAGTTAAGAGAGAGATGATAAATATCAGCATGGGGTTATTGCATGACATGGTTTTCAACTATTTCGTCAACAAACCATTTCTTCACTGAAATTTAGTAAATTGTTACCACATACTATAAGTCAGTCTCTTTATCTTGGTGTACTCATAAAGAGATGGTTTGCTTGACAGTTATCAAATTAGTAATTTTAAAAAGTATCTTTATGAGTATGGAATAGTTGGTGAAACTGAATTATTCATTTTGACAATGAGTATTCTTTAAAATATTTTATAATTTTAATCACTTACTGAAATACAGAGCCAGACTATTTATATGAAACAGCAAATTCATCTTTTATAGCTAGTAGGCTTTTGGGGGAATTGGATTATCTGAGGCCACTGATATGACAAAAAGCATGTACTTCTTCTAGGAAAGCTCTTGTTTTGTTTCTCTTTCTCATTCAGAGTCTCTATTTCATCCTAAGTACTTCCCTTTCTTCTTCATTCTTTCATCCCACTCCCCATATCTAGGTCTGAAGACCATCGTGGGGGCCCTGATCCAGTCAGTGAAGAAACTCTCAGATGTCATGATCCTGACCGTGTTCTGTCTGAGCGTGTTTGCGCTGATTGGGCTGCAGCTCTTCATGGGCAACCTGAAGTATAAATGTGTGAGGGACCCACTTGAAAATAATGAAACGATCGAGAGTATAATGCGGAATACAAGTGAAGAAGAATTGAAAAGTAACAACATTTTTGCAGTTATTAATAGGTTGAAAAAGTAAAAGTGTTTCTGCAGTTATTAATAGGTTAAAATAAGGCTAACAACATCACTATTTCAGCAGTGAAATATGGCCTTATTTTATTTTAAAGTAATTGAACATATAGGAAGAAGCTATAGTGGGAATTTCTTCTGTGTTCTAGACAATTTGGTTCTAAGATATTACAGATATTCTGGTATTGGAAATGTGATAGTTTAACAAGTCTTTTTTAAAAAGTTATGTTAAAATTATTTATTTCACCAGAGAAATAAGTTCATTTATGAATTAATATTAGTCTTTACATTAAATAATATACACAATTTACTTACTAGATGATTATGTTTTATACTTACATCATCATTTGGCTCTATATTATATTAATCATAGTATGATATGAACTATAACCTGTTGAAGTGTCTATATTGATGTTTCAAAAGATTTGTAGAAAACAGAAAGCTTTACTCAGTTTGACCAGCACTATCTTTATATTGTAAGCAATGGTAAATTTTATAACTTTTCCTGTCAACTGCCCTCAATGTAGTAGCACAAGAGTCTTGAAGTCAGTGGAACTTATTTTGTAGGTGATGTTTGCAATGATGTGTGTATAATCTGGGAGATCTGTTTAATTTACATGTATATTTTAGATTTTTCTTGAAGAAATTGTGAGCTGCATATACTCTAGCCACTTATCCCCAGTTTCTTACATCTGAGTTGTTGATAATTATTGAGTGAGAATGAGATTGAAGCAAAGCTGTCCTCTCTGTCTAACACAGAAGTGTGTCTGTGATTTTACAGGAACCCATAATCTGAATAGATAATTGTAGGATAACACTCTTTTGTCCTTCCTCAGGTAGCTTAGGTTTGTCAGGTCACACCCATCTAAGGACACTGAACTTGTATTGTAAGCAATGTCCTTTCTGTGTGGACACAGGAAGACAGTTAAAATTATGCTTTGTAACTTAGGAGTTGATTGACTCTGAATAATATTTACTCCTGGGCATCTGCTTTCTTGACTCAATTGCTCTTAGTTCCTCACACCCCAAAAGCAGGGTCCCGACGATGGACTGAATGGACCCAGGGCAAGCTGTGAGCTACCCTGGATCGAAATGGGCCAGGCCAAAGCGCCATGATACTCATAATTATAAATTGAGGGAATGATCATGGACAAATGCTGTCATGATCCAAAGTAAGTAATGATGAGACAAGGACCCTGTTAGGGCTAGGAAGACTAACTTTGCCTGAGGACTGCAGAATGTATAATGAGATGTTTATATCTCTTACTGTGCTCACACAGAATGACATTGCTAGAAATATTAGAAGTAGATTTACTACAACTATGTAAGTAGATTACTAGCTGAGGAAAGAACATACCCTTGTTAGGATCCCACCCTTGAGCAAATCTCCTAGTAATCTGGAGTAATCCCTTTAGATGAGATTTTATCCTTGCGTTAATCTCCTGGAGGAGTGGTTTTGCCTTTCATTGTTGATTTGTCAATATTCAACCCACCTTTATGTCACCGGCTTACCTGATTGCTATATAAACTAAGATTGTAAGCTCGGAAAGGAGAGTCAGAAGCGAGAGGGCTCAGGCTCCAGAGATCTAGAGTCAGAGCCAGAAGGAGAGAGGTTCCAGATTGGGGCCCAGGAAAAAAGGAGGCAGAGAGAGACAGGAGTGAAGAGGATTGGAATAAACTACTATTGATATCGACCGGCCTGGCTCTCGTTTCTTCTTCTGTCTGCCCTTGGCCAATAGCCATCCCAATTCAGGCCACACACAGTGGCTCAAGAGCACCAAACGCGGGCAGTGAAACAGTGCCATCCAGTGAGCCCGTGAACACACAACCTTTGGCATGATAAGATTTTACAGATAATCATTAAATTCAGAGCTGGGGTGGAAATTAGTAAATATTTCAAATTTCTGTGTCTTTGACCAGAAAAAGTTCAGGAAAAAAGATCAAGATTCTATTTATATAATTAAGGGGTTTTTTTTGTTTTGTTTTTTCACTTCAGTGTCTATTTTTCTACTTACTGAGGGAAATAAATGCAAGATACCTAATAAGTCATGGTCACGGTCCTCCCGTTATTCATCGATTTGCTCGAGCGGGCCCAGTAACATCGTGAGATTTGTTACTGTGTTTGGCATATCGAATATGTCACGGGTAGCTTGCCAGGCTTTGCCATGCAGGCGAGATACTCGCAGTACCTTGCCGGGCTCCCTGAGAGGGGCAGAGGAATTGAACTTGGGTCAGCCATGTTGACTGCGTGCAAGGCAAACGCCCTATCCGCTGTGCTATCGCTCCAGCCCACCTAATAAGTAGAGAGCTATAAATAAAGGAAAAAAATTCTAAGTCTAAAACAAGAAAATTGAAGATTTTTAAGTATCTTAAATTTATATTTTAAAATATTTGATATGTACTTATTTTTACCAACATTTGATAAGAATTTAGAATATCTTCCTCTCCTTTTTTATCTTTGCTCACTGTTGACATTTCTGTTTTTAATCTTTAATTTATGTGCCATAAAAGTAATATATTTTATGATTTATTGTAACAGTTAAGTAAAAATTTTAATTTCTCAAAATGACTTTTATTGTTTTCACACGAGTTAATGACAACTTAGCTACCATGTGAAGTCCCTTTCACTCTCACCCCTTCAAAAATGCTTTTTCCTTAAACAGACTATTGATTCCAAAAGCCTAAGTTAGATGTAATTGCTACAAATTGTTTGTCTGAGCCAAGTGAGATAAAACTGTAGCACTGTCCTCCTGTTGTTCATCATTTTCTGAGTGAAAACCAGTAATGTCTCCATTGTGAGACTTATTACTGTGTTTGGCATATTGAATACGTCAGGAGCAGCTTGCCAGACTTTGCCTGTGGGTGAAATACTCTTGGTAGTTTGCCGGCTCTCCGAGAAGGGCGGAGAAATCAAACCCGGGTCAGCCGCGTGAAAGGCAAACGCCCTACCCACTGTGCTATCGCTCCAGCCCAGATAAAACTAAACATAGATATTTACTTCACCAATTATGTTTTACCTATCCCATTAATTTTGAAATTAGGGAACATGTCCTAATTAGCTTTACTAGATAGACCGTCAGTTGCAGATATGTTTATTTGTTTCTTTTTTGTTCGACTGCATTTCAGTATAAAATTATAATTCATCTATCATGGCCTTCAACACCTTTGCTATTATACTGAATTACATTTTAACAGCTTGATTGAACAATCCACATTAACCTCCTGCTTTCAAAGACTACAGTTTATTATTTTAGTATATTCTCAAATTTGTAGTCATCACTGTTATTTCATTTTAGAATATTTTATTCTCATTCAAAAGAAGACACCTGATTTATTTACAGTCATTTCCTGTAATCATCTCCTCCAGTCTCTGCACCTTTTTATTTAATTTTGTTCTCTAAACTTACCTATTCTCAACATCTTACTAAATAAAATCATGCAGTAGTTATTACTTCTTTCACTTATTATGTTTTCAAGTTACTTCCATGGAGCAATCACACTAAATAACATTCCACTGCATTTCTTTCTTCTCTCTCTCTGTTTCTTTCTCTCATAGCCATGCACTGTATTCTATTTACCTTCTGTTTCATTAGTCAGTGGGCATCTGCGTTGATTTTACTTTTGACTATTATGAATAATGCTGTTATGAATAGTTATACTTCTTTTTTGACATATTTTGTTTCTTTTAGCATTAACATTTTCCCTGTACCTCTCAAACTGAATTCTCCTGAGGCTAGTTATCCTAATCTTGACTGTCTCATCGATTAAGAATTATTTTAAAGTCCATTTCTAAACCATAACAAGCTGCTCCTGTTGCTTTCCCTTTCACCAGACTTCATGACTGATAGTGTTAGTCTTGAAGTGTGCCATGACAGACAATTCTTTGATGATTGGTCATATAAATTAGTGTTACTTTAAAAGATAATACTAAATTAATCTTCCACAGTAGAATATTCTGGAAGTTTGTCCAGAAAAAAAATTGCATCTTAACATATGCCCATTTTCCCTAAGAAACAAATTTTTTTTTATTTTCAGAAAATTACTAAAGCACATTTCCACCTTAGACTAATAGATTTCATACTATATATATCTTGTGATATCTGTATTTTCTATGACAAAATGATGGTGTTTAAGTCTATCTATTAGTTTTGTCTGGAATTGTTATATGGTTTAATAATAATAGTTGCTACTTATGGGGCAGCTATGCAGAGTAGGCAGAGTACTGTAGCAAATACGTGTGATACAACATTTATTCTAAACACAACTCTACAGAGAAAGTAGTACCCACATTTTATAGATGTAACAGCTATATTTATTTTATTTATCATTCACATAAGACAGGGTGGAAATTTACCAAGTATATTAGCTACAAAATCAATCTTTTACAATTACTCAAAAATATAATAATTAAATCTTAGTGCCTTTGATTTGGACATGATAGGAAGTTTGTCCCTGATATTTAATATATGATATGTTTACATATTAGTCCTTTAAACCTATCCAATGTGGGTTCAATCAGTCATCGGTCTTAAAATAGGTCTTAATAGTGAGTGAAGAAGTAGATTATGAGATCCTGTACATGTGAAATTGAAATAAAAAGTATAAATAAAGAGGAAATCATTTCTTTTATAACCATGTCCTCAAATATCTAGAGTTAGTAATATGAAATAAAAATATTTCTCGGAGAGTAACACTGAGAAATTTAAAGAAACATGTTTTGTCCATTTAATTGTCCTGACTTGCTGACACTTTTCTCCTAGAATACTTTGTACTATCTGGAAACTTCCTTCTCTTCTCATCCCTTCTCTCAACACATTCTCTCTAGGTTTGCTCTTCTAGTCTCATGCCTTGAAACCAGTTCTCTTGGTCATAACCCCTATCTTCATAGTTCCATCCTTGAAAGTTATGTTAAGCTCAAGACTTTTTTTTATCTGAAGTTCTACTTGACAAACATATTTTAATTCCTAAAAGTTCATCTCAGACAGAACATATCTAAACAGAACTCCCAAATTTTCTTCCAGTCATTTTTTTTGTGTCTTCCTCATATAAATAACTGTCACCCTCAGCTGATTCAATCTTATGCTCTCTCATTTCCCGTCACATGTGCCATCAGAAAATTCTGTTCATGTTATTTTCATTTCCTTCTCTTTAATCCATAGGTACTCTGAATTTGAAATAGTGCTTCTCACTGCAACTTCTGGACTGTTACCGTTGCTTTCACATTTGCTCTCTTTCACTCCAGAGTCTCTAAATCAGCCACACTGACATTTTTGAGTAGTAGTTACAATCTTTTATCTTTGTCTTTGTTACTTCTAAAAAATCAAAATACAGGCTTTTTTTGTGGCATGCAATGACTTACATGACCTTGTTTCTTCAAGTCTGCCACTATAGTCCTTCATACTCACCACATTGTAACCAGGTTGACTAGTTTACTGTTTCTTCAATAAATCAACCAATTTCATTTCTCCTTCAAGTACTTTTCTCTTACTCTTCCCCCTACCAAGATAGCTCTTTAAAAGACTATATTCTTTATAGTATTTAGGGTTTTATTTATTTTTTATTTATTTTTTAATTTTTATTAGTGAAACACCATGACGTACAGTTGTAGACTTACATTTTTTTGTGCTTGGGTTTCAGTTATACAATGATTGAGTACCCATCCCTCCACCAGTGCCCATTCTCTACCCACCCCCCCCATCCCACCCCACCCCTGTGGCAGGGCATTCCCTTTTGTTTTCTCTCTCCTTTTGGGTGCTGTGGTTTGCAAAAGAGGCATTGAGTGGCAATCATGTTCGGTCTATAGTCTGCTTTCAGCATCTATCTCTTATCCTTGGAGGATCCTCTCAACACCCTTTATTTGGTTCTCCCTTCTCTATCTGAGCTGCCTTTTCCCCTAGCATGTGTGACTGGCCTCCAAGCCATGGAGTGAATCTCCTTGTACTTATCTTGGTATTTAGTACTCTCATCATTTCCTTTTTCATTTTTCACTTTTGGAACAAACTTAAGTGTTCAGGGCTATTTCCAACTCATTGTATTGTGGACATTCCATGGTCAAATGACTATGCAGTTCTAGATAAGAAATTTAGGACTCTCACACAGAAAGCATGTTTGCTGCGCCTTTGAGCTATCTCCTTGGTTCCTCAAATGTTATCTCCTTAAAGAAGAGTCTATTGCTCATTTTATCAAATTTAATCACGTTAGTTTTGTTTGGACATTTAGAATTATCTAAAAATGCCTATTTATCTATTCTCTAATCCCAAATTCTATGCTTGTCTAGACATAGAGATAGAACAATAAAGCAAAAACTTTATCATATTTATCTTTGTCTCCATTGCCTGAATCATAGACTTGTCAATAAATATTTGAGAAAGAATATACAAAATGAAATCAATGAGTACCCATTGCCTGGAACTAGTCCTGATTATATGAATAATGTCTGTGTTCATGAACTTACCTGCTGTGTTTACATTTTGTAATGTTGTATTGTTTAATTCCCTTCTGCACAGAATATATTTATTACTTGGAAGGATCCAAAGATGCTCTTCTTTGTGGTCTCAGCACAGATTCAGGGTATGTAATTTCTAATTGTTTTTAGTCTTAAAAGCTGAAACAGAAAGGAAAATGACACTCAATCAGTTTTTAATATACCTTTGATTTGATATTATGTTTATATAGTTCATGGCATTATTTTAGTCATTCTCTACCATAATGAGTCCATATTTTAAATGTGTACTTTCAAAAGATGGGTTTTGATATGATGTTTTAATTAAAACAACTGAAATTTGTAAACTTTAAGGATAAAATATTTAAAAATTACTTCCTGACATTTCCACAGAAAATTGATTGAATTGTTTCAAACTCTTTCTTTCTTGAAAGAAGAGTGACAAAACAACATTTATTTCTATCCCCAATATCTTCTAGTCATCAGTCAGGTCAGCTCATAATTGACAGAGGTAGTGATATCTTGTTCAGTCTAAATTCAAAGATCCCAAGGATTTGGGTAAAGACTTTTTAAGAATCTCACACTGAGGCAAACACCCATTTTGCTATTTCTGAGCATACCTTCCATTTATGTTGTAGAACTTTGTCCTTGCTCTCTCTTTCACTGGGTATTGTCAGTAGAGTTGGTATTTACTGAAACATAAACAAACAAGATAATATTTTTGCTTTCAAAGATATCTCAGAGTACTGTATTTGTCTTGATATCAATCCACCAATCTGCCGTTGTTTGTGATCTTAACACAATAGATGTATTTTTGACTTTTGGGCTTATGGGGGATATCAAGTGGAACTGAGAGTGCTGGGGAACCACTAGTGATTTCCCGCCATTTAGATAGCAAGACTGGAGGATCTGAGACCACCACAGTGTTGCTAGAGCCTCCAGGCTTCATCCTGTGGTGCACATGAGCCTCCAGTGATATACCAGATGATGTTAGAGGGACAATATGGTTCTGGGAATTAAACCCAGGCAGAATTAAAACCAAAGTACAACTAATTAATTACAAGTACAACCAATTAAACCAAGTACAACCGGTACTTGGTTAGTACACCTGCTAACCACCTCCTATCTCCTGGCCCTATTTTGACTAGTTTTGATTCTCATTCACTTCAAGAATAATTTAGAAATACACACTTTTGGTAGATGTCTATAAGCTAATCATTATTAATAAAACTGTTTTATGAAAATTTCCCAGTTTGGTATGTTGGTCATGATGTCATAATAGCAGCTTTTAATTATCAAATGCTCTCTGTGTGCAGGAGCTAGGCTAGGTAATTGACACAGATTTGCTTATTTAAAATTTTGATAAACATCTTCACCTTTTGAGGTATTATTATTAGTATTCTTTATTCACAGAGGCAGGGAACTGTGCCTTGAGTGGTTTAAATAATTTGAAAGTCATCAAACTCATGGAATAGCAGTGGTAAATTTCAAGTCAAATTCTTTGACTCCATGTAACATGATTCATTATTCACTTATTTCCTTAGAAATGAGGCCTTGCAGTTCTAACTTTTCTGAGTACTCTTTAGCATAGATCCTGAAGACATTCTAACTTGATTTTTTTTAATGTAGTCAGTGTCCAGAAGGATACAAATGTACCAAAGTTGGCAGAAATCCTGATTATGGCTACACAAGCTTTGACACTTTCAGTTGGGCCTTCTTAGCCTTGTTTCGCCTTATGACTCAGGATTATTGGGAGAATCTTTACCAACAAGTAAGTGGTAATGAAAGTAGATAAAGGACCAAATATGATAACCTCTCAGTGTCTGTACTGCAAACCATAATGCCCAAAAGTAAAGAGAGAGTATGGGGAATATTGTCTGTCATGGAGGCAGGGGGCGGGTGGGAAAGAGAGGGGATAGTGGGCATATTAGTGGTGGGGAATGTGCACTGGTGGAGGGATGGCTGTTTGATCATTGTGTGATTATAACCCAAACATGAAAGCTTGTAACTATCTCATGGTGATGCAATAAAATTAAAAATATATATATTCATTGTATGTTTTCATGGCATAAGCTGTTTTTTTATGCCTTTTGAGTATTCTTAATTTTATGGTATCCACTACTTGTACAACAATTGTTAACTCACATGGCCATCTTTTTTTACTGAATGTGGTACTCTTGCTGAGATTTGTGAAGGCAGTATTATTTCATAATTTTGGAAACTACTAGATAGTGTAGATGGGAATTTCTCTGAAAATTTAAAGAATATACCCATTGACTTAACTATTTTATCATTAAATTTTAATCTAAGAAAATAAATCAATAATGACAGTAATTGATGAACAAAAAGGGAATTGAGTAAGCAACAGATATAGGATGGACTTATTTACATTTAATATCTATTTATATTATATGAAAATTTACCATATATGACACTAGAAGATTTTAGTGATGCTCATTTAAAATACATAAAATGAAAGCAAAGTTTTTATAGTATGGTTGTCTACCTAATATGAATGTAATACATCATCATGAATATTGTTGTCAAAGATAAGACAACATGTCATAAGAATAATGCTGTACATAATATAAGACTATAGGAATTGTTTAGTACAAACTTAAAAAAAGAGAGAAATTGCTAGGTTTTGAGTGATTTTGAAATGGTGGGAGAAGTTTTAGTTATTATTCTTAACAATAATCAAGAATGAAACAAACTTTAGTACACCTATAAGAGATTTAATAGCTCCTTTGTGCTGAAAATAATTGAAAAAACAAACTATGCTATTAAAATAGGTATTTCCATTTTTCACTAGACACTCCGTGCTGCTGGGAAAACCTACATGATCTTCTTTGTGGTGGTGATTTTCCTTGGCTCCTTTTATCTGATAAACTTAATCCTGGCTGTAGTTGCCATGGCCTATGAAGAGCAGAACCAAGCAAACCTTGAAGAAGCTAAGCAGAAGAAGTTGGAATTTGACCAAGTGTTAGAACACCTTAAGAAAGAGCAAGAAGAAGCTGAGGTATTTTTATTTGTTATTTGGTAAAATTCTAAATGCAAAGAGGACCAACTGATGCCCCCTATCTAAGTTCAGCAGTACTCAGGGAAGCATTCCCTAATGAATTATTTTACAAAAACCAGTCCTACATTATGTTGTGGTTGATGGAACTAATTCTGGATTGAACTATAGCTGACATCTGCCCCATACACATGCCATAATTAGCTTATTTAGGCATCAGAAATGTTCTAGGGATGTTCCTCCTAAATCTGAGTATATTTGGCATTATGTAAAGTCTCAGAGTATATGTTACATTTCCCCAAAGAATCAACTGTATACAGATTTTGGGTAAATTTTTACTTATTTTTATGGGGGCCACTTGTGGCCATGTACCAGAATTGTGGAACTGCTGATCCGATGCAGAGGGGCTACCAGGGCCACACTCTGCTTTGCTGCACAAGGGGGTAAAAGCCATCAGGAAGTGTCCGGGATCAAACTCAGGGCCCCAGATATACTAGGTAAGCACTTCTCTACCATTCGAGCTCTCTCCTAACCCATAGGGTAAATTATTTTAATATTAAAGTAAGCAGATACTCTGTGAAGTAATGAAATCTATATTCTTTTTCTTAATGTTAAAAGGATTTTTTTAAAAATCAAATGCCAAAAAAACATGCCTATGCTAAGTCACAAATTCCTGTAAGTTCTTTCTACCTTTTTCTTTCAAGGTATTTCGTTGGAAATATTTGATAAGATTTTTATTAAGAGAACCAAAATTTTAGATATTCTTGAAGAGTCTTAGTATTCACTGAATTACAACAAAAGATGAAAGACAACACAAGTGGAGAGCTGATTTACACAACTGAGTTGGTGGGATAAATGGGAGTCAAAAAGGGAGGGGACATCGGGATCCCTGAAAGAGGGAGTTGGATCCACTGTTGATAGTTGTGGTATTGGAATTATGTGAATGAGAAACCATCATTAACAATACTGCAAATCACAGAACTCAATAAAATGGAAAAACTAACTTGCTTAATGTTTTGGCCTAGGTTAGTCCTCTTAAACGACTCCAATCTATTTAAGTACATATATCTAAATTTTATATAGGTTTGACACAGAAATAAATTTGGTGCAGTATTTGTGGAGGGGGGGAGGGGAGTCTGGGCCACCCCAGTGGTGCCCAGATGTTACTTTCAGCTCTCTTGAGTCCCTCCCAGAAGTAATTTGGGGATCAAACTGCATGGAAGGTAAGTACTTTCACCTGTACTTTTGTACTTTTGTCTCTCTGACCCTTACCCGAGTTCGATTCCTCCGCCCCTCTCGGAGAGCCCGGCAAGCTACCGAGAGTATTCGATATGCCAAACACAGTAACAATATAATATTTTAATCATAATAAATCCAGAAAGTACAGGGAAATCACAGGAAAATCTGTTGCTATATATTAAGTAGTAGGACACAAAACAGTGTAGGATACCAATATTTCAAATATACACAAATATTAGAATAAATATTAACATAACTATCTGAAATGTAAGTTTGTGAGTGATCTTTACCTTAACAATGGATTTTATTTTCTACATTTTATAGGGATTATTTTAATAATAAAAAATCTTTTTAAAGTCATAGCACTAAGATTACTTGGGGTTTGGGTGGATAACCCCTGGAAGTATCTTTTATCATATATTATTTTGTGATAAATAATTTAAATTCCAGACAACTCAATTTTTGTTAGAGTATCTGATTGAATTGGAAATATTGAGCTAATTACAAAACAAATATCTGAATTATCTTATTAAGTCATTTATGTGAGTTTCATGTCACATGCTTAGTAAAACCTTCTCATATACTTAAAACATGACTTTATTATACATGTAGTGATAAGTTTCTAATTTCATAGGACAATGGGATTTTATTACAATGTGGGAGAAGCAATAAATGCATTCTTTTTAAGAGATCTGGTCATGGAGCAAGGAAATAGCCATTTCTTTCATTTACAAGAAATATGTAGGTGTAAGTTCATGCTAGAGGGCTGCCCCCTCTCCAGTCCCCAATGACTTACTCTACTGTGACCACTTGGTACAACAGGCACTGGTGCTGGCAGCCGCTGAGTACACAAGCATCGGCAGAAGCAGACTGACGGGCCTCTCTGAGAGTTCCTCAGAAACATCCAAGCTGAGCTCAAAAAGTGCTAAAGAAAGAAGAAACAGAAGAAAGAAAAAGAATCAAAAGAAGCTCTCCAGTGGGGAAGAAAAGGGAGACAATGAGAAGTTGTCTAAATCGGAATCAGAGGAGAGTATCCGGAGAAAGAGCTTCCACCTCGGGATTGAAGGGCACAGGCGGCCACATGAGAAGAGACTGTCAACCCCGAACCAGGTATCCCAGAAACTCGCAAACGCTCTGCTGGAGGTGGGGTTTAAAGCAGACTGTTTTAGTAGAAGGAAAAGGGGCCTCAACAGATTAGAGTGAGAAAATTAATTGTTGTATTTTTAGCTTATAAAAAAACTATTGATTACTGATTACTATTGATACTGATATAAGGGGACTGGAGCGATAGCACAGCGGGTAGGGCGTTTGCCTTGCGTGCAGCCGACCTGGATTCGATTCTTCTGCCCCTCTCAGAGAGCCGGCAAGCTACCGAGAGTATCCCACCTGCCCAGCAAAGCCTGGCAAGCTCCCCATGAGTTATTTGTTATACCAAAAACAGTAACAAGAAGTCTCACAATTTGTTGTGAGACGCTAATGGTGCCTGCTGAAGCAAATCTATGAACAACAGGACAGTGCTACAGTGCAGTGCTACTGGTATAAGAAGAGGATACAGGTATAGTTAGCGTTTCATTTAAGTTGACAATTTTGAGGAGTCCTGGAGGTCAAACTCAGGACCCCGTGAATGGAAGTTTGCATTGTAGCACTGAGCTTTGTCCCAGTCCCCTACATCCTACCAGTAAGAAACTTTTAACTTTGGAATTCTTATATCTTCTCTAGTAAGCAAAATTTTTATGAGAACACTTGTAGAAATAATAACATATACTATAGATTAATTTTTGACTTTTTAAAAATTAGTCTGCATTTAGTAATTTTTTGATGCTTGAGAACTTATCTTAGACCAGTCTCTCTTCTTCACCACTGTTGGTACAGCAATATAGTAGTAGTACAGTAAATAGGGTGTTTGCTTTGTATGAGATTCACCTGGGTTCGATCCCACACACTCTATACGGTCTCCTGAGCCCCTTCAGGAGTGATTCCTTGGCACAGAACCAGGAGTAAGCCCTGAGCAGAGCTGGGTGTGGTCTCAAAAAGAGAACAGGACAAATTTCTAGTTAAAGTCTGGAAAGCCTGTCAGATATGCACAAAAATAATAGTTTTTTTTGTCTTCATTTATTTCATAGTCTACTGGGGGCTGGAGCAATAGCACAGCGGGTAGGGCGTCTGCCTTGCACGCAGCCAACATGGCCGACCCGAGTTCGATTCCTCCACCCCTCTCGGAGAGCCCGGCAAGCTACTGAGAGTATTCGATATGCCAGACACAGTAACAACAAAGTCTCCAATGGAGACGTTACTGGGCCCGCTCGAGCAAATCGATGATCAACGGGAGGGCCTTTACTTACTTACTTACTTTACTGGGGGCAATAAATCCTGATTACATGGGATAGCAATAAATACAAATATGTCAATAATAGGCTGAAGTAGTCTGAAGGCAAAAAGCTTGTCATTAACATTTCCATTATTCATAATGCCTGCCACTTTGTCTTTTGCATGGTAAATGTTAACATTTATTGAATTAGATACTTCCACAGAATATCCATTTAGTTCGGTTTGTGGACATAATTTTATCTTGGGCAGGAGTCATATAAAAGGGACTTTTTACCTTCTCTGATATTTGGGCAATGTTTCTTCCAACTTTTATTATTTTGTGATGATGTAAATTCACTGCAATTAAAGGTTCCTTATTAAACTGAGCTATCACTGTATAAAGTGACGTTACATATAATGGAATGTACAGAAGCATGCCTTGTTGTCTTTGGCCTCAATGTTGCTTTTTTTGATAAATGTTTATTTTAAAGCAGTACAGAGCTACCTGCTGCCAGGTCATTGGTGTCAATAATGTGTGAATGCACTTTTATTTTCAGTTGCTTTAACATATTCATTTCACCTGAAGGACTTTCTTTCTTCCTTTCTTTCTTTCTTTCTTTCTTTCTTTCTTTCTTTCTTTCTTTCTTTCTTTCTCTTTTTTTTTCTCTGCAGTCACCACTCAGCATACGTGGCTCCTTGCTTTCTGCAAGGCGTAGCAGCAGAACAAGTCTCTTTAGTTTCAAAGGTCGAGGATCTGAGACTGAATTTGCGGACGATGAACACAGCATTTTTGGAGACATTGAGAGCAGAAGGGGCTCACTTTTTGTGCCCCACAGACCTCGGGAGCGGCGCAGCAGTAACATCAGCCAAGCCAGTAGGTCCCCCCCAATGCTGCCGGTGAACGGGAAGATGCACAGTGCCGTGGACTGCAATGGTGTCGTCTCCCTGGTTGATGGACCGTCAGCCCTCATGCTCCCCAATGGACAGCTTCTGCCAGAGGTGATAATAGATAAGGCAACTTCTGATGACAGCGTAAGGATGTTTTAAATAGTTCAGGCATGGCTGGTCCTCATTCTTGCATCAGTCAATCTCTGCTGGAGGGTCTTTGTCTCTGGTCCTGTGAATGGCTCTGCATTTTGCAATGATCTTTTCTCTATAAACACACATTTCATTCATTAATATGATCCTCTGAGTCTAGGACCCTAGGTATCTATTGAAAGATATTCAAAACTCCCTTTAAAAATATTTTTAATCTATTGCTGTAATAAAGACTATCAGTGATTCCTTCAGAAAAGAGTTTATTGAAGATATATATCAGTGACCTGAGAATATAGTTCAAAGGATAGAACTCACATATCTGAATGGCCTCCTAAGTATCACTGGGTATGGGCCAGGTGAAAGGTGACCCCCAAGGATGTTGAACTCATCTGTCCTGAGCTCTAAACACTTAATTCCCACGTAGTTGACAGAGTATTGCTAGGACTGATGCCCGGACAGACCTGAAACAATGCTGGTGTGAGCACTGTTTTTTTAAGTGAGAGATGTTAGTACAGTAAAGAGATTATTAGCAGGTTGAGAAGTTGTTACTACGACCCATTACTTTGACTTGGAAATTTGCTTTATTTGGTACCTCCTGTTATCTTTTCCAGGTTAATACTTAATAAGTACCCTATTGCAAGTGACTTATTAGAATTATAGATAGTAATAACACTAAAGACAAATGTGTCAACAATAGCCCTGTGGGGTGATACACTACTATCTCTTTTACAACGGGGGACTGAACTGCTGAAGCACACGGAAAAAGCAGTTTACTATAGTCACTCCACTAATACACATAGTCCTGGAACTCAAACAGAGTCCTCTCCTTCAGTGTTTTTGCTCTATATTTGTTTCTTTAAAATATAGCAGCTTTTATTTTTAAGTTTTGAGAAAGGGGAAAGAAAGAGAATAACATATAACATGCTTTAGAGAGAAAAATTAGTTATGAAAGTACACACATCAAGAGGGGAGATGCAGATGACACTCATGCTCCTACACCACCTGCACTCGGCAGCAAAACGTGTGCTCGGGCAGCATTTGCGCCTCAGTGCTCTGCTCTTAACTACTGTCCATTGATCTCTCCAATGTGTGGAAGACATCTTAACTTAAACATGTAAAGAACAAAAAAATTATGATGTTTCCCCATACATAAAGCAACTTTTTTATTTAAAAGAAAACTTTTTGATCTAGATTCCATGAAAACTTCAGGATGTATAGACTAACACAAATATACATAATAAAAGAAAAAGGCAAGAAAATTACTGGAGAGACAGTAAAGGGTATAGCACTTCTTTGCACTCAGCTAATTCTTGTTCATTTCCCTCACATCACGTATGACTCTCTGAGTATCACCAAAAGTGACCCCTTAGCACAAAGCCAGTAATATCTCCTGAACTCTCCAGGTATTTTTCAGGAAGGAATGAGGGAGGGAAGGAAGAAGGAAGGAAGGAAGGAAGGAAGGAAGGAAGGAAGGAAGGAAGGAAGGAAGGAAGGATAAAGTTCCATCAAAGCTATAGCCACACACATCTCATTGTGATTGAATGCATGTGCTTTTAGGTACCTTTCGACTTCTATGCTTGCATGATATGCTTCAGCCCTCTGTCAAAGATTGTCGTTGTTTTTTAATTTTTCCCCTTCATATATATATAACCAGCATGTTCAGTTTCTATGGGATCTTATCTTTGCTATCTGTTGCTTTTTAATGAAGTATATTATCTGTAATTTTCATCAAATTTAAAAGTAATTTTAAATAAAATATTTTTATTCAAGGTTTTTTTACTACAGAAAACAATATTACCACAAATATTTTCCATTATAAATCTTAAAACCAAAAATCTAGAGGAATTGGACTTAAACAAAGTAAAAATAATATTGTTGCATAGTTTATAGTTCAAATTTTTATAATTGCACAACAAATAATGTAACAGGACACTTGAAATATGGAGAATTTGTTAACTCAAATTCTAGTTTGACTTAGGGATAAAGAAAGCTCTGCTTACAGAATATCAGTAAATTAGAAATTGGTCAGAGAGAATATGATTATAGGCAGATCCAAAAAAAAACCCTCCAGGTATATATATGTGTAACTTTGCACAAACATACATGCATAATACTCATGCACATGCACATTTTAGCCTGTCTTTTTATATATATATAATACATACAGAACTGTGCCTAAACAACTATACAACTTTACAGCTTTTTAATATGCTGAAAAGTTGCGCATATGCATATGCATGCTGCATATAAGCAGACTGATGGTAGATAAATGATAAATCTGGAGTTGTATAGTTGTATATGTGTATGAGCTTGTGTGTGTTGTTGACTGCACTAAACCAGCATAGTGTTTGAATTTGTTGCCCAGATGAAGAAATAAAAAAATTCACCTAAAAATTAAAATAGCTCATGAAGATAACTCATAATCCTGCATGGCAACTATCCTTTAGAGCTGAACAGTGGTCGCCTCTTTATGATGTATCTACATTCACCATTTACTACCTTTCCCATTAGTCTTAATCATCCTTTTAAAACTCAGACATTTATCATCATACACTCAAAAAAGTGAATGAGGTCGTTCTTGGCAGTAAGTAACAATCATTACTGTCACCTCCATCAATGATGTAACCTCAACAAAGAATTATTAAGGAAATTGATCAGACAGTGCCACGGTATACACATACACAAAAATACAACACTTGTTTTTAGCTCTTCTTATCCCAGACACTAACATGGTCAAAAGTATCCAAACAAATTTTATATGTGAAGAGATAATTATGAGTGCAATTCTGTCAATAAAATTATCTCACTTTACTTTATATTTTATAATAACTTCTTTAATCTTCATAGAAAAGATATAAAGCAAATACTTCTATTATTACTATTTTAACAAATATGGACAGGAGAGGTTGAGTAATTCCCCTATGAATAAACAGCCAGTAAATAGCAAACTTGTGATTCAATCTCAGCAGTATATTCTATATTTTTAATTACTACAACTTTATTATGCCTACAACTTTCTATAATTTTGTCCTTAAAATGTGTATGAATCTTTTTCTTCTGTTTTTGTTTTAGGGCACAACAAATCAAATACACAAGAAAAGACGTTCTAGTTCTTTCATTTTTTCTGAGGATATGTTGAATGATCCTCATCTCAGACAAAGAGCAATGAGTAGAGCAAGCATATTAACAAACACTGTAGAAGGCATGTATTAATATTTGTTTTATCCTTTATAATTTTAAAATAATATTATAGACATTCTGGTTAGCTTTAAATTAGTTTATGAAGAGTATAAAATGTTTATTGACTATGGTAAAGATAACCAATGGATACTAATGGACTATGTATATTTGATGTGCTTAAATTATATATACATATATAATTATGTAGATATGTGCATATATTACCTGAAATTTAAAACAGACATTGGTGTCTCAATGTTGTTTTGGTTTGAATTCACCAGTAATTGCTAGTAAACACTCTTTCATATGCTTATTGGTGATCCATATGTCCTCTTTGTGGAAGTGTCTCTTTATCCCCTCTCCCTATTTTTTATGGGGTTATTGGTAATTTTGTTGTTGAGCTTTGTGAGTGCTTTATGTGGTTTTGATATTTGAATGGTATCTCATGAATTGTATGCAAATATTTTCTCCTATTCAGCATGGTATTTTTATTTTAGCCCCAGTTTCTTTTGCCATGCAAAACCATTTTAGCTTGATACAGTCCCATTTGGTTAGCTTGGTTTTGGTATCTTTGTCAGTGGAGTCAAATCACTGAAAACACCTCTGAGGTGCATATTCTGGAGAATTATGCTTATGTTTTCTATAGTGTATTTTATGGATTTTAATCAAGATTTTTAATCTACTTTAAATTGACTTTTATGTATGGAGTGTGATACAGATATGATACAGTGTTCTCACTTTTAGACATCTGTCCCCAGATACAAAAACTTTAATTTGAAAAAATATATGCACACCTTTTTCTTTGCAGTACTTCATAGAGTGGAAGGAATTGAAGTAGCTCAAATGACCAGGGACAGATGAATGGATAAAAAAAGGTTGTGGTATATAAAAACAATGGAATATTATGCGGTCATAAAAATGACAGAATCTTGTAGTTTGCTGCAATTTATATGGGACTGGAGAGTATCATGTTAAGCAAAATAAGTAAGAGGGAGAGGTATAATACCTCTAATGCTATTGAGAGAGAGAGAGAAAGAGCGAGAAACAGAACAAAGGAATAGATAGTATTGAACAATGACAAAATTTTGGCACTGGATTACAAAACTGGGAACTGTAAGTAGAGAAAAGAGAGCAAAGGACAGGAATTTGGAAGAAGAGGAGACCTAGAGGTGACATAGGCGAATTGTTGGAGGGTCAAGATTACTTTGGGGTCATGATGTGTGGTAACTGTGAATATCAAAACCAGAAACAATAGCACTATTGTGAACATGTGATTTAACCTATAATAACTAAATTTAATAATGAAAATCAGGCACTAGATGATATGATTTTTCAAAGCTAAATCACTTAATGGCTACTAATTAAAAAAATAAACTATTAGGTTAACCTACACCAATGTGTTTTTCTCACTTTGTCATAATAGAAACTTTAACTCATCTTTCTAATTTTATTTTCTCTCTAATACAAGAATACAGTGCATACTTTCAGATAGCTATAGTTATCTGTGAACATGTTCTATAAAACAGTATAATGATATATATATCTGCTATAATATCTATTGGGCTGGAGCGATAGCACAGTGTGTAGGGCGTTTGCCTTGCACATGGCTGATCCAGGTTCAATTCCTCTGCCTCTCTTGGAGAATCCGGCAAGCGCAATTTACCAAGAGTATTTCATCTGCAAGGCAAAGCCTGGCAAGCTACCCATGTCGTATTCAATATGCCAAAAACAGTAACAGCAAGTCTCACAATTTGTTGTGAGACCTTACTGGTGCCTGCTCGAGCAAGTCGATGAACAACGGGAGGACAGTGCTACAGTGCTACATGATATCTATTAAGAGTATAATGAAAAATCATTAGAGAAATTAATTTAGGGAATATAATGTGAGTAGTGATATGGATTTGAGATATATTGGAGAGTCAAGGGAGCACCAACATCTAAAATTTGGTGGTGCTCATCTTCACTACCCACGTAATGCCCTAACTTTTACCACTGTGCGCAGACTCAGGATGGCAGAATGTTTTCGCCTGCATCCTAAATTTATGGTGTGAATTAAATGGACTAATGATAAGAAATAGCTCCTACATAACCCACTCCATTACTTATTTCTAGTTTCTCAGGTCTGGATTGTTTTCAATAGCAAAAGATAGGAATTTATTTTTTCGGGATAGGAAATTGCTTTATTGTTTCTAGAGAATTAATGACACAGGGGAAAAGCAGTTATATTTCTATATGGAAGTTGCATCTTATCGTTAAGAAAAAGTTGGGTTTTCTTGCTTATTATCACAGGTTGAGTGCATGTTTTTTACTGAGTGAAGCCCAGAAATTACTTTCTGTCATTAATTTCAGTGCCTTTCTCTAATTTAGGCTTGAGTAAATGAACATGTAATAAAATACCTTTATGTATTACTCTGTGCTTTCATGGAAACAGTTTGTAGAATTTGCAAAGCCTAAACCAGACGGTTTGTCTCAACATTAAAGTGTACTGCTGATTCATATCTGGGTGGTAATATGAAGTAATTCCTAGATGTTATCTGTTGATTTTTCCTCCCAGAACTTGAAGAGTCCAGACAAAAATGTCCTCCTTGGTGGTACAGATTTGCACACACATTTTTGATCTGGAATTGCTCTCCACATTGGATAAAATTCAAAAAGCTTATCCATATTATTGTAATGGATCCTTTTGTGGATCTTGCTATTACCATTTGCATAGTTTTAAACACATTGTTTATGGCTATGGAACATCACCCAATGACCGAAGAATTTAAAACCGTGCTCACTGTGGGAAATTTGGTGAGTATCTTATTGTGTATTACATATTCATAGCTTCTCTATTAATAGGGCCCTTCTTTCCTTCCTTATTTCTTTCCCTCCCTCCTTCCCCAAGGCCTCAACTTGTTATATCCCTTCACTTCATTTTTATTATTTTAATTCAGACAAATATGAATCTGCCATATGCATATCTAGAACTCACTGTATGAATCATTCCATAGATACAAGTTTTTGGTGATATATTTAATCATTAAATAATTTTTCACAAGTGTGGAGGTGTATAAATTATTTCTATTTCAGAATGTTAACATCTTGGAAGTTGACAGTGTTATTTTGTTTTGTTTTCTACCTGCTTATCTCTTAAGAGAAAAAATGGAAAATTTAATACTTTCTCATTTTATGGGTTTTTTATTTTTTGGTTTTTGGCTTTCGGTTGTTCTTTTTTGGTTTTTTTTTTTTTTTTTTTGCGACTTCCTCATGAGAAGAGCCTCTAGTTTCAGAATGACATTGAAATATTTGTCTTGGCCAAACAAGTTGAAGTTTCTGGAGTTCTATTCTATAACTCTAGACTTCAATCCTGATTAGACCCCTTACTAGTGATATGACCTTGAACAAATATTTTTGTATATCTTTAATGGTCTCATTTATAAAATAATAATGCTGTATTTCTAAAATAGGTAAAATAATAATACTTTATTCCTAAAATAGTTATACTATGATATTAACACTGCCCTGATCATAGTGTTGAGAGGAAAAAGTGTTTTTATTTACTGCATTAACCTAGCAGATAGATTCAACTAATTAAACATTTTGTTACCATCATGCTGCTAATGAATAAGCAGAAAGAGATCATAGAAATGTAATATTGAGGAAGGAAAATGGTTGAGCTGGACACAAATGATCCAAGGAAGATGAGAAATGATTCTTAGGTTTCAAGAAAACATAGTATTCTATTAGGAAAATTGATGACAGAGTGATTGTTTTCCTAGTTCCACTTTCTTTGTTCTTTTTTCAAATGTACTGAGGTAACAGTGATTTATAAGAGAGTACTATTTATATGGTTTAAGGGTTCAATATTATCACAAGACAGGGACCTAACTAAAGTACTTACATTTGCTGCCTTCATTGCACTCAAGTTTATTTAATACTTTGTAACAAACAAACAAAAATATTATGACAAGGCACTCTCTGTCTCTATGTCTGTCTGTCTCTGTCTCTGTCTCTATTTCTGTCCCTCTCTCTCTCCCTCTCTCTCTCAAACACACACACATATACACAGGATTCTATCTTATGAATTCTTAAGTCATTAAGAACTCTTAATATCTTTATGATGATTAACTCTTAACATCTTTGTCACTTTTACAATGGTCCAAAGCACATTGATCAAAAAGTTTGTTTCTGTGTTGGTTTTATATTCCAAATTGCTTAAAGATATTTCCTGAATGAAAGTGGTAATCCATTGGGGTATTTGTACATCGCACTGCATATTTCTGTGTTTATGTATTTCCCCTTCAGTTTCTCTTTGGAAAAGAAAAATCATGCTATTTTTCTTTGTGGAGATCCAGAACTTGAAAATCAGAGCTTTCTCATTGACAAAGTTGGTTGCATTGCTATGAATTCCAAATAAAGATTCACCATGTTTCTTGTTTGTTTGGGGGCCACACTTACTTCTAGCTCTGAGCTCATAGATAACTCCTGACTTTTCTAGAAGGTCATTTTATGATGCTTTACGATCAAGCCGGTCGGCCTTATACATGGCAACCACCCTGCACACTGTACTATATCTCTGGCCCTCATCGTGTTGCTTAACTCTCACTAGAACATAAATTTGGGTGCTCCTTTTTGATGCTGAATTATTTTTAAATTAGTCACAAAATTATAATCACTTTCCTTTGAAACCACATTGGCAAGTTTCTTTGATTCAAATTGTACTTAAATTTTTTTTCACTTTTGGGGTCACACCTGGCAATGCACAGGGGTTACTCCTGGCTCTAAACTCAGGAATTACTCCTAGCAGTGCTCAGGGGGACCATATGGAATGCTGGGAATTGAACACCAGTTGGCCGTGTGCAAGGCAAACGCCCTAACCTCTGTGCTATTGCTCCAGCCCCTGTACTTAATTCTTGAGTCCTTCATTGTTTTCTTTGAAGTTAATCCCTTGATACCAACTTCATGAATTAATGATGTTTTGTGATGCACTTTTATGTCAAAGCTTTGGAACTCTTACTTTAGTTGTCATTGTCTTAGTCAAATAGCTTTTCCTGCTCTGCTGATAAATCTTTTAAAGAGTAAATCAATATGTTTTCATTATTATTTTAACATGTTCTTTCTAGTCCAAGAGTAGTCATACCAGAGTAAAAACCTGGTAAAAAAATTATCATTGGTTTGTTTCCTTATTTTCTTCTGAAAAACTAATTGACCACTGTAAAAATTTTTGTAGAGAATGCCTGTGTTGTTTGTCAAGATTTAATTTCCCAGAAATTATAATATCCTCTTCTAAAATGTCATGTGAAGATGATGAGAATTGACAGATAACTTAGTGCTTTTTTTTTATCACTTCAATGTTTGTATAAGAACTCTGGGAAAGTATTCCCTTTTTATAGTATTAAAGATAGTATATATTGAAGCACAGTAAATGCTTAATAGTCGTTGCTACCATTATACTAAAATTCTGTTGTTATTTAATTTAGGTCTTTACTGGGATCTTTACAGCTGAAATGGTCTTAAAACTAATTGCCATGGATCCATATGAGTATTTCCAAGTAGGATGGAATATTTTTGACAGCATTATTGTGACTTTAAGTTTAGTAGAACTTTTTTTATCAAATGTGGAAGGATTGTCAGTTCTGCGTTCATTCAGACTGGTAAATTTAAATCAATTATACAATTGTACTCCTATAAAGTGATATTTCTTTTGTTTTGCATTATCATTTGGAGCATTTGGAGATTTGAATCTAACAAAAAGATTAGGTTTTAATAGTAAAATGATGTTCACTCAGTAGCAAATTTTCTTTGTTACTCAAATCAGAAAAAAATTCTAGGAGTATATTAACTTTAGTATTTTGAAGCTATTTACTCCTCCGTGCAAATATACTAACAGGGTAATAGAGATCAAAGAGATAATATTGCAGCTAAGGTACTTGTCTTCTATGTGCCCTATTGGAGCTCCATGCCTGGCACTACATATGGTCCTCATAGCCTTGTCACGACTAAGTCCTGAACACAGCCAAGTGTAGCTGAGAAACCAAAAACAAACAAACAAACAAAACATAATAATTTATTTCATAACAAGAAACTACATTTTATATAAACTCAAAAAATATTTATTATTCCTTTGTGGATAAAAAAAAACTAAGGACCAAATCACTGGCCCCAAAACAATTTGTTTTTGCTTTTTTGGTCACACCTGGTGATCCACAGGGGTTACTCCTGGCTCTGCACTCAGGAATTATTCCTGGAGGTACTCAGGGGACCATATGAGATGCTGGGAATCGAACCCGGGTTGGCCGCATGCAAGGAAAATGCCCTACCTGCTGTGCTATGACTCCAGTCCTTCAAAATAATTATTTGATATAAAAACTATTTTTAAAGTTTTAAAAGCCTTTTAACTTTCAAAAACTAAAGTCAAGTTTCAGTGTCAAGGTCCGGTTACATTGGGACTTGACATTATATTTGTCTGCTAGATCTTCTCTCTTCCCTTTGTTAACCATTAATTATTCCAAACGTTTATTATTGTTTGATTTCATTCATATATTTGTTTTCTCTATTAAGATTTTTGTTTTTTTTTTGTTTGTTTTATGGGGTGGTTCAGTTTCAGCTGAGCTTAGAGCTTACTCCTTGTTCTGAGCTCAGGGATCACTCCTGGGGGCACTCAGGGCATATGTGATGCGATGCTATATTCCAGCTCAACTATATTCAAGGCAAACAACATACCCACTGTATTGTTTCTTTAGCCCCCATAAAGACTTTTAATGCGTTTTCTCTAACACATTGGACTTTATCCCTATGTAACTATGAAAGAATATATAAAAGTATCAGAAAACAAAATCAAAGATAAATTTTTAGTTCTAAGTGAAATTATAGCTCTGATCTTAAGAAGACACTTCTGCAGTAATCCTCATTAAAATTATAGTTTCTTCAAAATAAATATGATACTTAGGTTGTGGCAGTTATGGCAAGGTCACAGAAATATTGAGAATAGATGAAAATGGAAAGTAGAAATAATCCATTTTAGCTAGGAAATAATGATAATAAAACAAAAAATTGCTCAAGAATGCAAACTTTTGAGAATTATTTTGTAATAATTAATACTTAGCTTTGTTTTTGGTTTTAGCTCCGAGTTTTCAAATTGGCAAAATCTTGGCCAACTCTGAACATGCTGATAAAAATTATTGGCAACTCAGTAGGAGCTCTGGGAAACCTCACCTTGGTGTTGGCCATCATTGTCTTCATTTTTGCTGTGGTGGGCATGCAGCTCTTTGGTAAGAACTACAAGGAATGTGTCTGCAAGATCAATGAAGATTGCACGCTCCCACGCTGGCACATGAATGACTTTTTCCATTCCTTCCTGATTGTGTTCCGTGTACTGTGTGGAGAGTGGATAGAGACCATGTGGGACTGTATGGAGGTTGCCGGTCAAGCCATGTGCCTTATTGTTTTCATGATGGTCATGGTCATTGGAAACCTAGTGGTATGTAATCAGATGTTCAGTCTTTAAAATCTTCCATAAAACACTGCTGTGTGCTGGTGTAATGAAATTATTTTCGCAATTTTAGTCTTATGAATGTTACTGTCACTATCCTCCCGTTGTTCATTGATTTGCTCGAGCAGGCCCAGTAACACTGTGAGACTTGTTACTGTGTTTGGCATATAGAATACGTCACGGGTAGCTTGCCAGGCTTTGCCGTTTGGGGAAGATACTCTTGGTAGCTTGCTGGGCTCTTTGAGAGGGGCAGAGAAATCAGACTCCGGTCAGCTGTGTTGGCCACGTGCAAGGCAAACACCCTACCTGCTGTGCTATTCTCCAGCCCTATCTTATGAATAAAACTATTATAATAAAATATTGATCATTAAATACAGGGAAGAACAGAAAGTAAATAAAATTTTATTTTTTTATGATTCCCAAGATAAAATTCCAACATAACTCCTATTTATATTTTAAAGAGTACCCCCTATTTTCATGGAAAATTTTCTGCATTTTTTTTTCATTTTGGCAATTGTTTTAAGAATTAAATCAGGGAATGGAGAGATGGTATAGCACTAGGGTGCCTTGCATGCAGCCATCCCAGTTTTGATCTCTGGACCCAGTACGATCCCCTATAACCTGTGAAGAGTGATCCATAGGTTCAGAGCCAGACGTAATCCCTCAGCACCACCAGGTATGGCCCATAACACAAAACAAAAACAAAAAAAATGTATAGTTTGATGTCCTTTAAATTTTTTTGAAATATTAAGTTATACTAATGTTTGGAGGTTCTAGCAGGGGAGCGCAGCTACTCGTATACCCTCGACCGAAGACCGGTCCATCTCTATCGGGGAAGGCCGTCCTCTTCGACTGAGCGCGCAGCTTTGGGAGGGACGCACATGGAGCGGTGAGGGAGGAAGGGGACACCCGCCTAGCCAGCCAGATCAGCCGAATCAACCCTGGCGATCAATGGGGTGACAGATGTCGCAGCCAGATCGCCCTCACATAGGATTGATTATATTATCAGTAACTAAAAATGAAGTGATAGTGAACAAGACAAATGAAAGTGCTGCTATTACTGTATTATAGTCACATATAAAATTAGCATCTTAAACAAAGATCAGCAACATACAACCCAATCCAGAGCACTGTTGGTTTGTGTTTAACTCTACAACCCAAGAAAAGTTTTGATATTTAAAATAAAATCAAAACAAAAGTGTATTTTTTAGGATATGAAAATAATATACACTTCAAATTTTAGTTTTTATAAACAAAATTTTAATGAAACACCATATGACCATTCATTTACATATTATTGATAGTTTATGAGAGCAAGGTTGAATAGATGCTAGGAGAGACCATCTCTTTATAAGAACTAAACTATATGTTATCTGACCTTTTTTCATAAAAGAAAGTCTTGTCTACTGCTTTCCAAAGCATCTGTTGTACAAGTGATGTTTCTAATCATCTGTTTGTATTGTAAGCTTGTATTCTCCCATTTAATTCTTCCTTATACCTAGTGTTGAAAACTTTAGAGCTTATTGCAGGAGAGAAATTGGGTCTTCTATGTTTTTCTATGACTCATTTTAATTTTCAAAGCCACCATGTTGGCTTTATTTAATTAGTCTACTTGACTTCAGACTTTTCATCAGATATCTCAAGAAGTAAGATATGATAGGTAAAGGTAAAGGCCCTCCCGTTGATCGTCGATTTGCTCGAGCGGGCCCAGTAACGTCTCCATTGGAGACTTTGTTGTTACTGTGTCTGGCATATCGAATACTCTCGGTAGCTTGCCGGGCTCTCCGAGAGGGGCGGAGGAATCGAACTCGGGTCGGCCATGTTGGCCGCTTGTAAGGCGAACGCCCTACCCGCTGTGCTATCACTCCAGCCCAAGATATGATAACAATTAGTTTAATCACTTCCCATAGGTTTAAAGAGAGGATGCTGATATTTTTTGTCTTCATAGTGTCCATGCCAAAAATAATTCAGAGTGTAGGTCAGAAATCTCTATTTATCAAGTCACCTACCAGATGCATCTGCTTAGTGCCTTTAAATGACCAGACATACACAGCAAAGTTATGGTATGCAAAATTTGGCCCCTCATTTGGACAAAACGTAGATATTATGAGTTATAATTGTGTAATTGTTATTTTCAAGTTGAATAATACATTTCCTAGTTTTATATAGGTTTATCCACATACCCTTCCAATGTGAAATAAAATACACATTCTCTGGTCTTACTTTAATTGTAACTTTTGTATTCATAAACTCCCATACATGAACTTGGTAGTATATTTCTTCTTATAAAATATCAGTAAATATGGAAAAAATTACCTCATTATAAATTAATAAATAGAAATATCTAATAATGGCTTTCATTTGGGAGAGTTAAGCAATAACATGGGTCCTTGACTTCTTGTCAAAATTCCTATTTTATGCACATGTACAAATACATATTACTAGTAAGATATATTTTGTCTGTGAGATAAATATATTGCCATTTTGTCAATGATAATATTAATGAAAATAAATTGTTTCTTAACTTCTTGGAAATTTATTAAAAATTGTTTTCTAGGATATTTTGGTGTTTTTTTTTTACCAAAGATATTGGGATAGAACTTTTAATTTGTTTTTTGGGGGGATGACATGACATCTGTCGGTGCTTACTCCTGACTTTCCTCAGGGATCCCTCCTGGCAAGGCTCAGGGAATACATAGAGGGAACACATAGAGGTTGAATCTGGGTTGGGTCATGTGCGAGTAATTCAATTTTCTGTTTTTATCCTATTTTAAATAATAAAATGATGTTTAAATATAATTTTCATATTTTGAGCCCTTTATGGGATTTCCTTTTCTTCAAGGATAGGAGTTGTCAGGGCCTCTTTTAGGATCTCGACATGGACACATTATAATTGTCAATGAAGCTACCTAGTTATAGTGTCATTATGTTATTTGAATTAGGTTCAGTGAAGAGACTCCTTTCTATGCCTTAAATGCTTCATTAAGTTGCGAGATGACACAATTCTTGGACATAACATTTTATTATATAAAACTCATGATGTCATATATTCCATTTGTTTCAACAAGTGACATTTATTTCTAGAAAATGTAACCACAGATTTTGGCTTATGCTACTTCAGCACAACAGATACTAGTCATAATTATTATGTTCAACTTATTTCTCACAAGAAACAAAATACTGATTCTAGATTAATGTTAGGAAGCTTTTAAGGACCACAGAAGGAAATTTGACCAGTGATTTTCCCCCCATTTTTTGGGTCACACCTGGTGATACTCAGCAGTTACTCCTGACTCTGCACTCAGGAATTACTCCTGGTGGTGCTCAGAGGACTATATGGGATGCCAGAGATCAAACCCAGGGTGGCTGCATGCAAGGCAAACATCTCCCTTCTGTACCATCGCTCCAGCCCTGACCAATGATTTTAGTTGTAGATGTAAGTTTTAAAGTGACATAATGATTATGGTGAGAATATTCATTTTACTCTTTCTACTGCTTCATGCATATGGGTGACCTCTGCTCCCCAGGATTCATGGAATCTAGGCTACTCTCTTCCCTTATACTGCACCTTCTCATCTATGTGGATAGAAGTGTATGAATTGTCATTGTTGGTTTGTGTATTGACCTGTATTTCTTAAGCATAATACATAATAAGTATGCCTTATTATGATACATAATAAGTATGCCTTATTTTTCTTTCTAAAATATTTTTATTTTTCTTTCTAACATATTTCTCTGCTCTACATCTCCATCCTGATATAGGTACTGAATCTATTTCTGGCTTTATTATTGAGCTCATTTAGTTCCGACAATCTTACAGTAGTCGAAGAAGATACTGATGCAAACAACCTCCAAATAGCAGTGGCCAGAATAAAGAAGGGAATAAATTATGTGAAACAAACTTTACGTGAATTTATTCTAAAAGCATTTTCCAAAAAGCCAAAGATTTCCAAAGATAACAAATCAAAAGATCAAAATAGTTTGAAGGAAAACTCTATCTCTAATCGCACACTTGCTGAAATGAACAAAGATTACAATTTCTACAAGGAAAAAGATAAAATGAGTGGTTTTGAAAGCAGCATGGACAAATATTTTATGGAAGAAAGTGATTGTCAGTCATTTATTCATAATCCCAGCCTCACAGTCACAGTACCAATTGCACCCGGAGAATCTGATCTGGAAAATATAAATACTGAGGAACTTAGCAGTGATTCCGATAGTTATTACAGCAAAGGGGTAAGATCGCTTCATATACTTTGTTTCATATTATAAATTTTTCATGACATGAATCAAAATTTCAGATATTTGCTATCAGTAATTCTCATGTTGCATGCTGATTGGTAGATTTTGTCAGTTAGTTTACAAAACAGCTTCCCAAAGGTTTATTTGGTAATGTTTTACCTACTCATTTGTCATTGAACTAACATTATTCTATTTGAAAGCACCCTATGTCTTTCCTTCTTCCCTTCCTTTATCCATCATTTGTGGCCAATCATGAAGCCAGTCTACTTCCATGCATCTGCTAGAGTTACCAGTCCTCTTTTTTTCCTGTATCTTTGCCCTACCTCTTCATGACTGCACCATTTTAAGTGGATTCCCAACTAGTACCTGTCTCAATTTTCCATTTTCTTTAGTTCACACACTTAATTTTAGCCAGGTTTCACCTTATCAAGTCACTCTTTGGAAGCATTTCTGGTCTCACAGTTGCTAAATTTAGCTAAGTCTTCACACTGAGACATGGCCAGTTTTGACCAGCTGACTCTAGTGCTCACCTCTTACCCCTACACCTATATACGCCAATTTTTTTCTTAGCCATAATTGCTCACTATCTGTATGACTTTGCTTGGGGATTACTTCTTTGATAAAATTTACATGTATATGTTAAATATGTATATATTTGCACATATCCATATATAACCTTTAAGAGAGAGTACTTAGTTTATTTTGTGTACAGTGATTTGTCTTTTAACTAAGGCATGGATGAGGGCTATGTGAATTAACCCATGTGAAATGCTTAGAACAGCATTCCGACTAATCAAAAGTGGTAGTTCTTATATTCTTCCATTTTTTTTCTCCAAACATTAATGATTTGTTTTTATTTTGAACCCCATGTGATTACATGCCTTTTCCTGGAGTTATTATTTAGCCTTGTATTTTAATTTTTTAAATGATAGTATGAATTCATTGAGAGCAAGAGAACTTTAATAAAAAAATTTATAATTTCTTCTTCCCAGGACATTGCTAGATATATTCCATTAATGTGGGATACCATTTTTGCTAATGAGAGATATAATAACCATAAGTGAGTTTTATGACATATGATTTTATTTCTCTTTAAACATTGGAAGTTTTCACTTTAAAGTGTTTTTTTCTTTTTAGATCACATTTGAAAGTATTTGATCAGTATTTTACCAAATGCCTTTTGTTGACTCCTATACTAAGACAATTTTTAAATTTATAGTGGATTTTTAGAATAAAAATGTATAATTCTTGGGGCCAGATAGGTAGTATATCAGGTAAGGCACTTGCCTGCACATGGCTGGCCTGGGTTCAATCCCCAGTACTACATATGGTTCCCTGAGTACTGCCAGGACTAATCCCTGAGCACTGATCCAGGATCAATTCATGAACACTGCTGGGTGTGACCCCAAGAAACAGGTAAAAAAACCCCAACTCTGTAAGTGTGTATTGGCCAAATGGCAGTGTGAGGTACATTATAAGGTACAGAATTCAATATATAGTTACTAAGTGAACATGAGTGTAAATATGTTATGAATGTGTACGGATATGTAGATATATTTCTAAAAATTTGGTCATTCTTTATAAGATGACAATGAAAAGAATACAGTAATTTAATTTTTCATCTTAAAATTTTTACATGGAAGAAGTAGTATTCCCAGAATTCAAAAGGTAAGATCATTTCAGATTGATGAATTTCAGATAATCACCCAATAGAAATTCGACTCTACAAATCCCTTTTTAGGAATGTTGGTCAGTCAGTATTAGTCTCATATGGAAAGAATTAATTCATGCAAAATACTTTACATGTTTCAGCACTCCCTCCTCCTCCTCCTGTTTGATCTTCCCTCCACCATAGATCTTGCCTCCCCCCACTCCCGCCCCTGTTCTATATCTCTCAGCACCCTCAGATGCTATGTTACCTACTGAATTGCAGTTTTCATATTCTTGGTTTCCATTGTCTTAGGGCATTTTTTATTGCCCAATTCCGTTTCCTTATACTGCACATATGAGAAAGATCATTCTGTGTTGGTCTATCTCCCTCTAATGAACTTCACTCAGCATGATACTTTCCAAGTTTAACTGTTTATTTCTTTCATTGTAACTTTTTTGATGTTTTTATGCTTGAGCTGTTTTTGAGACAATTCATATTCTTGAATTTCTTTACCAATGAGGCAAATGATAATTACCCAACAGAAAGTAAGGTCCAGTTAAATACATTTAGCTTACTCTTAAGCGCTACGTTGCAGTATAATTAAGAACATAATCTTGAGACCAGAGAGATCGTACTAGGATTAAGGTATTTTCTTTGAATGCTACAAGCCCTGATTCAATCTGCAACACCACATATGGTAATCAGCACTGCCAGGAGTGATCACTGATCACAGAAATAGGAGTAAATATTGAGCACCACCTGGTACAACCCAACTGCCTGTCTTCCAGAAATTAATGGGACCTCTGGAGACAGAATGATTGCCTTACATTCTAGTTCTGATATAGAAAAGATGAACTCTGTGATATTCAGCTATTTACAAACACATTTCACTCTCCCTCTGCTATAAACAAAAGAAAAATTGTTATGAAAATCAATTTTTAATCAAATAACCAGATAAATGTCTATTGAAAAATAAGTCTGTTGTTGTTAGGAATTGAGAACTTATGTATCATTATGGGCATATCATGTAGATGGTTAACTGTTACTCGCTAAATTTAAGATTGATTGTGTGACATAGTTTTTTGGCACACACTTTAGTATGTAAAGATACACTTAGGGAACTTGTTAAAAATGTTTCTTGTGAGCTAATACCTAAATTCTGTTCCTTAGGAATACAACTTCAGAATCTTTCACTGCAGTACTCCCAGCAGTCACTGTGATGCTAGGATTGCTATGGGAAATTAATCTAAATATGCATTGATACAGCTTTCTAAAATATTTTTTGTTCAGGACTGGATTTCTAATAATATTTTAGTCTGTATTAGAATCTTTATGATGAACAAGGAAAAAGAGCCCTTTTGACCTTTGACTTCTCTCCTCTTTCTCATTCCCCTTCTCTAAAAGAACCCTCTTTTATTACCTACAATCCTGTTTTGCGAAGATAAGAAGCTTTTTCTGTGTCCTTTTAATATTGACTCTTAGTCTAATTTCTCTGTCCTGATAAACATTTAAGTATATCGCCCAGAGTAAGTTGAAGATATTTTATAGTAAAATACAATGCCTAAAGAGAGATTAATTTAAATAAGGTATTGGGTAAAATACCTTAATGTTAGTGAAACTTATCCAGACAGGGTCTGATGTCTAGTGATAAGAATGTCAAACATTGGGGCTGGATAGACAGTAGAGTGTTAATGCACTTGCTTATTCTTGACCCTTGTTCAATCCTTGTCACAAGTATGGTCCCGAGCACCATCAGTCGTAAGCCCTGAACACAGTGGATGTAGCCAACAAAACAAAACTAAGGAATACTGAACACTGTCTCACTGGCTTTGCAAGAAAGGAAAGACTTCCTTGCAGTTTGAACTACAGTGAACTATGAACAATGCTCAGTTCTTTTTGTCCCTTTGTTAAAATGGACAGGTTTGTAGATGGGGGATTGAATTTTCGGGTATTTCCTACAAAACAGGAACATATGTGGGGACAACCTGATCTCCTGGATAAAGACATGTTTTTTGTGCACTTCCTTCTTAACAGAATCTGTGACAGAATTTACAGTCCTAGCTCTTTTTCAGGGAAGGAAAGCACAGTGTCTGTGTAGAGTGCATAGGGTTATCTGAGTGAGTTTGTGCTTGTTCTGAAAAAGAGCTGCGTCATATTTACCATTTCTGAAAAGCAGTTCTTGCAAAACAGTGTGTGAAAGGGTTAATGTTTTTGTCTACACTAATTTATGAATGTCAGGTAATCCTCTAGGGTCATGGTTTTAGTACTTAAAAAATAATTAGCGATAGAATATCAGTATTTCTCTTCACATAGGTTCGTAGTATCTGGGAAGTATCTTCCTTTATTGTTTTAGGATGTTTCCTGGATTCTAAGACACTATCCAGAAAGGGTTCACTTGAGACAACATAGCAAATGATTCATCAGAGGACTCCTGCTGTTGCTTCTCAGAATTTTTATAAAACTCATGACTCCTCTCAAAATCAGTCTCCTGGTTTAGGTAACTTGCTCAAAGGTCTGCAAAGGGCTGTCATTCATATTTGCCTACTGGACACCTGGGATTGATTCCTGGCACCAAGTAATCCCTAAGCACTACCTAGAGTCACCTCCAAGCTGGGAGCCAGAAGTAACCTCAGAGCACTGCTAAGTGTGTAACAAACAAAACAAACAAACAAAAAAAAAAACCAGTTAACTTCCTTTAGAAGGGCACAAAACCCTGTAGTCACAACAATATTCATAGTATGCTGCACAGATTTTTACCATTCAGTATGAAGCTTTTTTGTGTGTGAGTCTCAAACAAAGCATGAGGTTTCTATCCTTTCAGTTAATAGTTATTGAGATCTAATACGCTCCAGACACTGTACAGAGTTATTTAGGAAAAGTATTTTTCACTCAGATGCAATTATTTAGTCTGATTTTTAGTTAACAAAAGACCTCCCCCCAAATAAGAAAAAATTGAAAAATAAAGACATTTAATTATGATGTTGATCTTGGAAATATATGCAAATTGCAATGAAGTGTTATACTTATGAGTAATTTTCCAAAAAAAACATTTTAAAGTAACAGGTTTTTAATTTTGCTGCATAAATTAAACAGCTCTTAGAGAGGCTTCATCGTTCGATCAGGATCTGGTTTCCAAAGTCCACCTTACTGTCTCTTTGTAAATAAATTGACTAATCAAGATAGACTGAAGTGAATTTATTCAAATTGTCTTTGTTCTCAACAGAGCAAAACTTTTTGTGTTAAATGTTTCTCAAGAAAAAAGTCCTTATTTATTCCTCCTCAGGCTAAATGTAAACACTTAACTTTACTAAAATGTATTTTAATATCAGATTCTGTAAAACTA